GTATACAGTGCAGTAGTAGTGTAGTCTGTATTATAGTATAGTGTTGTAGTGTAGTGTGTAATGGAGTAGTGTAGTATGTAATGCAGTAGTGTAGTGTATAGTGCAGTGCTATAGTGTATTGTAGTGTGTAGCCTTGCAGTAGTGTAGTGTATAGTATAGTGTAGTAGTGTATAGTAAATTTTTAAGTAGTGTATAGAGCTGCAGTGGTGTAGTGCATAGTCCACTAGTGTAGTGTATAGTGCAGTAGTGTAGTGTAAAGTGTGTGTTGTGTCCTTTGAGGGTTAGTGAGGGTCATCTATGTTCTCCAGCAGCTCGATGTGTGTGTTTTTGTCCACCTGTAGTGTAGCAGTGTAGTGTATGGTGTGTATTGTGTCCTCTGAGGGTCAGTGAGGGTCATTTCTGAACTCCAGCAGCTGTAGATGTGTATGTGTTTGTCCACCTGTAGTGCAGTAGTGTAGTGTATAGTGCAATAGTGAAGTGTATAGTGTGTATTGTGACCACTGCGAGTCAGTGAGGCTCATCTCTGAGCTTCAGCAGTGGTAGATGTGTGTGTGTGTGTGTGTGTGTGTGTGTGTGTGTGTGTTTGTCCACTTGTAGTGCAGTAGTGTATTGTATAGTGCAGTAGTGTAGTGTATAGTGTATATTGTGTCCTCTGAGGGTCATTGATAGTCATCTATGTGCTCCAGCGGCTAGATGTGTGTGTTTTTGTCCACATGTAGTGTAGCAGTGTAGTGTATAGTGCAGTAGTGTAGTGTGTAGTGTATAGTGTGTATTGTGTCCTCTAAGGGTCAGTGAGGGTCATCTCTGTGCTCCAGCGGCTTTAGGTGTGTGTGTGTGTGTGTGTGTGTGTGTGTGTGTTTGTCCACCTATAGTGCAGTAGTGTAGTGTATAGTGTAGTGTATAGTGCAGTAGTGTAGTGTATAGTGTATATTGTGTCCTCTGCGGGTCAGTGAGGGTCATCTCTGAGCTCCAGCGGCTGTAGATGTGTGTGTGTGTGTGTGTGTGTGTGTGTGTTTGTCCACCTATAGTGCAGTAGTGTAATGTATAGTGCAGTGTGTAGTGTATAGTGCAGTAGTGTAGTGTATAGTGCAGCAGTATAGTCCAGTAGTGTAGTGTATAGTGTGTATTGTGTCCTGAGGGTCAGTGAGGGTCATCTATGTGCTCCAGCGGCTAGATGTGTGTGTTTTTGTCCACATGTAGTGTAGCAGTGTAGTGTATAGTGCAGTAGTGTAGTGTATAGTGTGTATTGTGTTTTCTAAAGGCTGATTTATACTTCTGCGTCAAACGTCGGCGTATGCTATGGCGCTGACGCATAGCCCTTCGCCGTGGCCATCGCCGCCACTGACGTGCACCTCTCAAAAAATGTAACTACACGTCGCAACGACGCGTAGCGTAAGCTCTGTGATTGGTCGGCTTGGTAGCGCTGACGAGTCTGGGCGGGACCGAGAGCCGCGCGAATGGCGCGAGCGATTGTTTACAAGTGTGGAGTCCCGTGAAGGAGCTCCGGGTTGAAAGTTTTGTTTTGTGTTTACCTCATAGTTAAAGTTGTTGCACGTCCGCCGGTTCCTGCCTTAAAATGAGCGAGTTTGAGCCACTTGTACATCCCGGAAGTGTTCAGGAAAAGCAAAACAGAAGAGAAGAAACTCGACACAGAGGAACATTTACACCTCACTGCCAACTAGCGTTTCGGGATTGTTAATGCAGACCGACAGAGACAGCGCGCAGAAGTATAAATGCACAGCCACGCGCGTTGCCTGCGCCGTGGGTAACGCCGGTCACTTGACGCAGAAGTATAAACCAGGCTTAAGGGTCAGTGAGGGTCATCTCTGTGCTCCAGCGGCTTTAGATGTGTGTGTGTGTTTGTCCACCTATAGTGCAGTAGTGTAGTGTATAGTGTGTATTGTGTCCTCTGTGGGTCAGTGAGGGTCATCTCTGAGCTCCAGCGGCTGTAGATGTGTGTGTTTTTGTCCACATGTAGTGCAGTAGTGTAGTGTGTAGTGTATAGTGTGTATTGTGTCCTCTGCGGGTCAGTGAGGGTCATCTCTGAGCTCCAGCAGCTGTAGATGTGTGTGTTTTGTCCTCTGGCAGATGTTCTTCTTCCTCTGTTTGTTGTGTTTGGGGTCAGTGTGTGTCACTCCACCTCTGCCTCTATTCTCTGGATCTCGCTCTTCCAGACGGTCATCCTGGAAAACGTCTGGTGTCCGCAGACGCTGGAGAACAATTGAAGCAGACACTTGCGTCTGTGCCCGTCAGGAATGCAATAACAGGAAAATTGGGAGGATTATAAATAAATGCTCGTATTTTGAACTGTTGACCCCTGCTGACATGCATAAATAAACAAGGCCGCCGCCCCCTTTGCATTGTTTCCCAATGTTTGATTGGTTAGTCCGTGCATGAGTTATGGGAGAGATTTTGGAAATGGGCTAAAGGAGTAAAAAAGGTTTGGTATGCGAGGGAAGGAGTTTCAGGTTGCGACATGGGTGAATGTGTGGCTTCATGGAGAAGTTTTTAAAACATTTGATTCTTCATCCAAGAGCAATGATTGGAGTTGAGGAATGTTTCTGGGGGAAATGTTGCAATGATTGCGGACCATTACAACGGCCTCCTTTCGTCCTGCAAGATCTAGTTCATACCAGTCTAAATTTAGCATGTGTAAAATGCAGGATTCTGTGGTAAAGTCTATTTCTCAGCAGCAGAAAACAATACGGAAATATCTGATGATTTTGTGTATTGTGGTAACAGGAAATAGAGTCCCGTTTATATAGTTACATTTTTAAGTAATTTTGTTATTATATTATTTTTAAATATACAATTGTAAATTATTTTACTATGTTTTTTAATAATTGTATTATTATTAAGTTAGTTATTAAAAAATAGTATTAAATATATTTAATTATTAACATTTATTTATTTAACATTTTGTATTACGTTTTAGCTCATGAATAATAAAAAATTATATTTTGTTTATTAAATTATTTAACATTTTATTGTAATAATGTAAAAAAATATTATTTATTTTAAAATATTTTAAATTGGATTAATAATTGTAATTATTTTATACGATGATTGTTTAATTTTAAATATGTTGAAAAAAATATAATAGCACTGTTTTTATTTAATTTGCCTTTGTTATATACACTTTTTAATAATAGTTAATAATAAATATTATTTTTCCAAATTCATTTTATTATTATTATTATTATTATTATTATTATTATATAAAATATTTTTTCATGTTTACAATATTATTAATATTCTTAAAAATAATTATTTTATTAAAATAAATGTTTATTTTTCATATTTGAATAATAATAGTTATTTTAATAAAAAATTTATGGTATTGTTATTACACTTTTTGGTGGCATGGTCACCTCACAGAAAGAAGGTCGCTGATAAGAGTTTTGCCTAGTCCAGTTGTCTTTTGTGTGTGGTGTTTGCATATTCTCCCCATGTTGGCATGGTGTTGGCATACTCCGGGTGCTCCTGTTTCCCCCACAGTCCAAACACATGCGCTATAGAGGAATTGGATAAACCAAATTGGCCATAATGTATGAGGGTGTGTGTGAATGAGTGCGTATGGGTGTTTCCCAGTACTGGGTTGCAGCTGGAAGGGCATCAGCTGTAAAACACATGCTGGATAAGTTGGCGGTTCATTCCACTGTGACGACCCCTGTTGAATAAAGGGACTAAGCCGAAGGAAATAAATGAATACCACACTTTTTTATCATGTTAATTAAGGTGACCTTGAGTGGTTTAAAAGGTGCCTCAAATAAAATGTATTACAAATATTATTATTATTAATCCTCTTCTTTTCTGCTCCTGCAGATGAGCGTGAGGCCGTGCAGAAGAAAACCTTCACTAAATGGGTGAACTCTCACCTAGCCCGCGTGTCCTGCAGGATCACCGATCTCTACATGGACCTGCGGGATGGACGGATGCTCATCAAACTGCTGGAGGTCCTGTCCGGAGAGAGACTGGTGAGTGCTCATGTCATTACAAGGGGCATGGCCTCATTTGCATATTGTACAATACTCAAGTTCTGTCCGAAACTGCGACCTATTGACTATATAGTTCTAGAGAGAGACTAGTGAGTCATGATGTCATTATAATGGGTGTGGCCTCATTTGCATATAGTATAATACTCTAGCTCGACCCAAAACTGTGACCTATCGACTATATAGTTCCGCAGACAGACTAGTGAGTCCTGATGTCATCACAAGGGGTGTTGCCTAATTTGTATACATATAGTATAATACTCTAGTTCGGTCCGAAACTTCCACCTTCACACCATATAGTTACCGAGAGAGACTTGTGAGTCATGATGTCAACGCAAGACGTGTGGTCTCATTTGCATATAGTATAATACTCTAGTACAGTCTGAAACTGCAACCTATCGACTATTTATTTCCAGAGAGACTAGTGCGTCCTGTTGGCATCACAATAGGCGTGGCCTCGTTTGCATATAGTATAATACTCTAGTTTTGTATGAAACTGCGACCTATCGACTATGTAGTTCCAGAGAGCGACTGGTGTGTCCTGATGTCATCACAAGTGCTCTGGCCTTATTTGCATATACTATAATACTGTAGTATGGATGGATAGATAGATAGATAGATAGATAGATAGATAGATAGATAGATAGATAGATAGATAGATAGATAGATAGATAGATGGATGGATGGATGGATGGATGGATGGATGGATGGATGGATGGATGGATGGATGGATGGATGGATGGATGGATGGATGGATGGAGAGAGAGAGAGAATGGACAGAGATAGATTGAACTATGCAACAGCTGGTGATAGAAAGCATATAATTCAGGGTATATACATTTTTGGTTTCTAAAAAATGTAGCCCTGGGCACATGTCTCCAATGAGCCTGGCTTGGTTACTATATTGTCTTTCTCTGATGTCTCTTTACTTTGACTTTGATTTCTGCTCGTTCTGCTATTGAAATCTCTGTGTTTAGGAGTGGTGTTTGGTTTGGATGTGTAGAGCTCAGTGCTTTTGCTTTCACTGAGGCGATTAAACTCAGCGTCACCTAATTGCCTGAAACACTTCTTTTCCTGTGCAGAGACTCAGCAAGAGAAAATAGGCTGTTAAATGTGAAGAGAGCATTATTTGTGTCTGCCTATCTCAGCTGCCCATCACAACAACAACACAGATGGAAAGCGTTTGACATCTGTGATCCGAACCAAACTAAACGGATCTTGAGTGAGAGAGTATGAATCTCACTAACCTGGTGAAAACAGGCACTGTGTGAAATAAAAGGGAGGAAAAAATGTTTGCAAATAGCAAGTGAAGGGAACTGAATGAACTAAATTGGCCATGGTGTATAAGTGTGTGTGAATGTGTATGAGGGTTTCCCAGTATATATTAATATAATGTTATATTATATTATTAGTATATTACATTATATTATAAATATTATAAAATATTATTAATATTGTAAAATATTTTGTATTCAAGTGCTTATACTTGAATACTAATTATTTACATATACATATACATTGTACTTTTTATGATAAATATTTAGGCATTTTTATACTTGGACAATTTACAATTCACTTCATTTTAATGTTATTATAATTAAATATTATTAAAAATAATATTACTATAATTTTACCCATTTAAATATTTTTAAAAAATTGAATAGTTTTATTTGTAAAAATATATAATTTTGACATTTTTTTATTGTTTGTTTTTACTTTTTAATTATATTTACAATAAATATCTAAATATTATTTTGATTTATTTTTCATTTTATATGAAATAATTTTTGTAAATAAAATTTATCCATTTAAATATTTGAAAATATACATATTTTTATTTGTAAAAATTATAAACAATTAAAGGTTTTTAATTATTATTTTTTATTATATTTGCATTAAATATTAATATATATTATTTCGATTATATTTTTATTTTACATGAAATTATTCTATATTTAAAAAGAATTTTCAAGATTATTTCATTTTTAGACTTTATGAAAATGTACATAATTCTAATTATAAATTAGATTCAAATATAATTGTAATTGATATTTGCCCATTTCATTAATTCATTAATTTTATGAAAACATATAAACAGTTTTATTTGTAAAAATATGTATTGTTATTACTTTTTAATTATTTTGCATTAGACATCTTTAAATATTTAGATTTATTTTTAATTTTTTATTCAATTATTTTATTTTTTCATAGTTTTTTATTTGTTGTGGTTTCTAATAGTGCTGATGTATTAAACCAATCAGACACTTTTCTGGTGAGCTTATTGATCTATTGGCTAATCAGAGTCGTTAGATGAGCAATCGTTAAAACCACTGGGATTTTGTTTACTCGCTGACTGAATTTTTAGTGCTCCTGACTTTCTCGTCATGGACAACAAAGTTAATTTACGATGCAAGTAAGAGTTTAAGCGATTTATAAAATGTGTGTGATGTAATGCAGTTTTTTGCGTGCGCGTGTGTGTATGTGTGTGTGAATATGCCATGTGTAACCGCAGTGTTCACACATGCTTTCACTATCTCCCAAGGTTTCTGATAAGATAACTCTTCATTCTGCCAATGAAGGAAACGCCTTACTTTGAAATTTCCTGAGTTATTCATCACTGGTCATTTCCTAAATTTAGACATTTTGTTATCCATCATTTGTGCTTCCTCTGTCTTTTCCTGAGGTGAAGGTCTTGTTCTGACTCAATCCTGTCTTGGTTAAAGGGAGTGTATGGCAAGCCAATTTCACATTTAATCTATAAATAAAACAAAATTCATTTTACAATTACCAATTACCATTCTCTGTAAACCCTAGAGATGGTTGTGCGTGAAAATCCCAGTAGATCAGCAGTTTCTGAAATACTCAGAGCAGTCCGTCTGGCACCAACAACCATGCCACTTTAAAAGTCACTTAAATCCCCTTTCTTCCCCATTCTGATGCTCGCTTTGAACTGCAGCTCATCCCCTTCACCATGTCTACATGCCTAAATGCATTGAGTTTCTGCCATGTGATTGGCTGATTAGAAATTTGCATTAACAAGCAGTTGGACAGGTGTACCTAATAAAGTGGCCGGTGAGTAGTTTAAATGTTAAGTCTGTTTGCCATAGGCAGTGAAACTTATCGTTGTTTTTGGCGAACGCTCAAACTGCAGCTTGAGTTTCAAACCCTGTCAGGATTGGTTTACAAAAGTCCAGTAGAGAAAAAAACTCTGTTTCTGAACCAGCCGCACCAGGAATGACATTTCATTCCATTTCAGACATTCGTTTAATGAAGAAACATGCTCATAAATTTCCTCCAGGAGTGTCAGTACTTCCTGCTCGATGTGTTTAATCAAACTGTGTATCTCTCTGTGCCCATATTTCATCTCAGAGACAGTAAATATGACACTAGCCGAGTCGCTGTTGATGCTTGAACTGTTGTTTTTGTGGAGACTTGCCTTCGCAGATACAGCTCATGCATCCAAACAAAACACTGATTCATCGCAAACATATTCTCCATAACGAATGAAGGTGTCACAAGGTTTAAATAAAGCGTGTTAGCAGGATTCTTCATAGTTATGATGAGGTCATACTTAGTTTATATCCATATTCAGTACTATGATACAATACAAATTAATGATACAGGTATTTTTGTACAAATACTTTTCAGGATATAGATATTGTTTGGATGCGTAAACTTAAAGAATTTATTCATACGATTTTATATATTGAATGATTTTGAGTGGATAGATGTCTAATAGAGAGATAATCCAGTGCTTCCCATAGGTTTGAAATATACTTGCGGTGGTTGCCAGATTGAAACACTCCATTTACCCACATCACATAAATAGATAACTATATGTGACAAACCAAACATAATACAATTTGTAACAATAAATGTATTTATTATGACACTGTTATGCACTGTTTCTTTTTAATGGGTTAAAGTAAAAAAAAAGACTTAGTTAGACTTAGATTTAGTTGAAATAAAAAAGAAATCCACTATCGCTCTTACTTTTATGCCATTCGGGAACCGTGTGCACACACTGACAGGTCAAATCTGATTCCTTCTCCTTTTCAAACGTGAATGCCAAAGCATTTTTGATATTTATAAAAAATAGCCTATTTGCAAGTGTAATATATGATGCCCAATGACGTCATCAAATTAATAAAATATAAAGCAAATGAGAAATAAATGACAGGAAAAAAAAGGAATAAAAACAGACATTTTAGGAAATTCAGACACCTGGCCAGACAATTATTTTTATGTGCCAAAAAGGAGCGTCTCTGTGGGTCCGAGAGCACGTGAGACTGTCTGTTGGAGTGTTGACAATTCACGTGTGCACAAAACGAAACCGGTAAACGAGAAAGGATTTTCCACTATTTAAACGATCGTGGGATGTTTGGTTATTTTAGGCGGATACAATATAGTGTAAAAGGATGATAATAATAGTAAAAATAAAAAAAAACGTATCACTAAATATACCTGCACAAGAAAAGTTTATGTGTGGGAAGCACTGAGACAGACAGTTAGAACAATAGATAGGTAAATAGATAGACGGACGGACGGACGGACGGACGGACGGACGGACAGACGGACGGACGGACGGACAGATAGATAGATAGATAGATAGATAGATAGATAGATAGATAGATAGACGGACGGACGGAAGGACAGACGGATAGATAGATAGATAGATAGATAGATAGATAGATAGATAGATAGATAGATAGATAGATAGATAGATAGATAGATAGATAGATAGATAGATAGATAGATAGATAGATAGATGGATCGATAGATAGATAGAAGGATAGATAGATAGATAGATAGATAGATAGATAGATAGATAGATAGATAGATAGATAGATAGATAGATAGATAGATAGATAGATAGATAGATAGATAGACGGACGGAAAGATGGACGGACGGACGGACGGACGGATGGACGGATGGACAGATGGATAGATGGATAGACGGATGGACGGACGGACAGACGGACAGACAGATAGATAGATAGATAGATAGATAGATAGATAGATAGATAGATAGATAGATAGATAGATAGATAGACGGACGGACGGACGGACGGACGAACGGACAGACAGACAGACGGATAGACAGACGGATGGATGGACGGACGGACAGACGGATAGATAGATAGATAGATAGATGGATGGATGGACGGATGGACGGATGGACGGATGGACGGACGGACGGACGGACGGACAGACGGATAGATAGATAGATAGATAGATAGATAGATAGATAGATAGATAGATAGATAGATAGATAGATAGATAGATAGATAGATAGATAGATAGATAGATAGATAGATAGATAGATAGATAGATAGATAGATAGATAGATAGATAGATGGACGGACGGAAAGATGGACGGACGGACGGACGGATGGACAGATGGATAGATGGATACACGGACGGACGGACAGACACACAGACACACAGACGGACAGACAGATAGATAGATAGATAGACAGACAAAATTAAGACAGAGACATGTAATAAATTATATAACTCGAGGAGTTTCGTTACAACAATAATAACATTGTTCAAAATTATATTTTTGAAATTAGTTAATTATAAAGGATGAAAGAGATAAAAATTTTAAACTATTTTAATACAAATATTTTGACATATTAAATATATTTAAAAAATCTAATTGTGAATTAAACATGCAATATTCTTATAGATAGCTTGACTTTTGAGATCAGAATTATCGTATATTTTCACATTTATCATATTAATGATACTTTAGATTAAAATGACACTGAGCTGGCGGATTATTAATTCCTCAATCCTTTCTGCCTTTCCAGTGTTTCTGAGTGAACGTGGGCCAAGGCTTTTGTCCTCGGTGAACAGAAAGTGTTATAATGTGTGATCTTATCTGACGCCTCTGGGCCTCTGCTTTCACCTGTGATCTGATCATCTGATTGGCTAATACAGAGTCATGCTTGCTTTATAGAACAGCTGTACTGAAACAGCCGTCCAATACAAAACTGCTGATGTCATGCCTCTGCAGTGTGTGTGTGTGTGTGTGTGTGTGTGTGTGTGTGTGTGTGTGTGTGTGTGTGTGTGTGTGTGTGTGTGTGTGTGTGTGTGTGTGTGTGTGTGTGTGTGTGTGTGTGTGTGTGTGTGTGTGTGTGTGTGTGTGCGCGTGCGTGTGTGTGTGTGTGTGTGTGTGTGCGTGTGTGCGTGTGTGCATGTGTGCGTGTGCGCGTGTGTGCGTGCGTGCGTGCGTGTGTGTGTGTGAGAAAGAGTGAGTGTCTGTGTGAGAGAGTGTGTGTTTGAGACAGAGGCGAGTATGTGCGAAAGTGTGAGAACGAGTGTGTGTGTGAGAGAGAGAGTGTGCGCGTTAGTACTAGTGTGTGTGTGTGTGTATATGTGTGTCAGGAGCTCCTCTTACTCTGTAAGGATCGGATCGTACCACCTGCAGTCTCTTAGGGAGGCTGATATCCATCCGTCGGCTTCAGCTCTGTTGCTCCGGCAGCTCATTAGAGAAATGCTGCCACTTCACCTTAACTGCATCCTCCAGGGTCAGCTGCTGATTGAGCCATCTCTCTCTAAGCATTATGGGAAAGCCAATGCTTCAGGGACACAGGCCACTCGACCCCTGTTCTCAGACTCATCTATTCGGTTCTACAGCCGCTTTCTCCACATCATATCTGAATGTATAATTTGTGTACAAGTCAATAGTTTTAGTTTATTACGTTGTATACTATTAAGCAACACGGTGGCTCAGTGGTTAGCATGACTGTCATCTCACCGTGAGAAAGTCGCTGGTTCAAGTCCCAGCTGGGTCATTTGGCTTTTCAATGTGGAGTTTGCATGTTCTCCCTGTGTTGCCGTGGGTTTCCTCTGGGTGCTCCGGTTTCCCCCACAGTCCAAACACATGTGCTATAGGGGAATTGAATAAGCTAAATTGGCCGTAGTGTATGAGTGTGTGTTTATAAGTGTTTCCCAGTTCTGGGTTGCAGCTGGAAGGGCATCCGCTGTGTAAAACTTATGCTGGAATAGTTGGCGGTTCATTCTGCTGTGGCGACCCCTGATGAATAAAAAGTGACTAAGGAAAATAAATGAATGAATCCTTTACCTATAAGTTTTATTATTATTTGAATTAATTAATAACATGTAAACTGTTTTTATAGTTTTAATTTTAAATACTACAACATTCTTAAAAAATGTATTTTTACAGAAAAATAATCTTTAGAAATTTTCATTTATTGAATTTTTTTTATCTTTAAATAAAAAAATATAGAATTTTGTTTTATTTTAATATATTTTAAGTTATATAAAATAGTATTAGTTTACTGTTATTTAAAAGTTCACCTATAATTATTAGAAAATTATATTTAGAATTTATAATGACATTATTTTATAATTTTATTATTCTAAAATGTAATTTTTTTAATTTGAAATTCTTTTTAAAAATGCTATATATGTTTTTTTTTTAATAAATAAGTTAAATTAACTAAATTAATGATAAAATAATATGTGACTTGTAAGTAAATTGAATTTGCTAAATATTTATCTTAATAAATTTTTTAAATTATAATATTAATATGTTTAACAAGATAATATTTAAGGGCAACATGGTGGCTCAGTGGTTAGCACTGTTACCTCACAGCAAGAAGGTCCCAGCTGGCTCTGTTGGCATTTCTGTTGTGGAGTTTGCATGTTCTCCCCGTGTTGGTGTGGGTTTCCTCTGGGTGCTCTGGTTTCCAGAGTCCAAACACATGCGCTATAGGGGAATTGATGAACCAAATTGGCTGTAGTGTGTGTGTGTGTGTGTGTGTGTGTGTGTGTTTGTGTGTGTGTGTGTGTGTGTGTGTGTGTGTGTGTGTGTGTGTTTAAATGAGTGTGTATGGGTGTTTCCCAGTACTAGGTTGCAGCTGGAAGGGCATCCCCGGCCTGAAACATATGCTGGATAAGTCGGCATTTTATTCCTCTGTGGCATAAAAATACATAAAAATGTAATTCTTAAATACATAATATTTACAAAATGCTTTTATTATTTATGCATTTAATTATTGCTCTACAGACATGTAGAGCAGCCACTCTTAAGGTCAAAGTCTTCTCATAAAAATCACCCCAAGCACTATGCTGTTTTACAACCCAGTTGCTCATTTACCCATTTAAACATGAACCATAATGCGAAAGCTCGTGGAAACTGTGAATCCTTTCTGCATTTCATGTGTTTCCCTGCATGCAAAGTATCATGCGTTATGAAAAGCTGTGGTCTTAACTCGGCCTTAATGTAAAAAATAGGACGTTCCCTCCCGAGGCGTTTAATATATCATATTATCTGACACGTAGCTTTTCCTGCGAGACATTCTTTCCTTCCCGAATGTGTCAGAAAGAAAAATAGCCGATGAACCTGTGTGCAAAACGACAGAAACAAAAGCCACTGCATCTCTAACTCACGCTGCGCTGAGTCCAGCAGGTCCAGTTACTGCCTTCTGCAATGGATATCCCAGTTAACCCTTACCGCACTGCTCACTGTTCACATGTAAACTCAAATCATCACTGACTATTAACTACAACTGCACAATATTTCAACATGATAGTTGAAACGGTGGGCTACAAATAATTGATTATGAATAGGTGTGTAATGCAGTGTGTATGGGGGCAGCACAGTACACCTGACATTATTCTCTCTTCTGGCTGCCGTTATCAGTCTCACACTATTGTTTTCCTTCTTCTGAAAGTCTTGATAACGCCACCCTGGAGCTTTTCTATCATTATTTCAGCAAATAGGATTGTAAACAAATGATTTGTTGTACTCTCCTGTTCACTGCACTCTTAAGTTTATGATGACTTCTGCTGATGAGAAACGCACAAATGTGAAAAGTCTCCCTAAGGTCAATAGGATGCATTATGAAAATGTCCCATAATAACTCAAGCATCTTCTGTGATGTGTGCAGCCGAAGCCGACGAAGGGCCGCATGCGGATCCACTGTCTGGAGAATGTGGATAAAGCCCTGCAGTTCCTCAAAGAGCAGCGTGTGCATCTGGAGAACATGGGATCACATGATATTGTCGACGGCAACCACCGACTCACACTCGGACTCATCTGGACCATCATCCTCCGCTTCCAGGTACAGCATCACCCCCTTTAGTCAATTTAGAGATTTATTTACGCAATGTTTTATTTGACATTTAATGCAATTTTAAAACATTTTAAATGCACAAACAAACAAACACATGATGTTGTGTGTGTGTGCGCGTTACAGATCCAAGACATCAGCGTTGAGACAGAAGACAATAAAGAGAAACGCTCAGCCAAGGACGCCCTGCTTCTGTGGTGCCAGATGAAGACCGCAGGGTGAGTGAACGTCCAGATTTAAAGACTTCAACATGTCTGTGTTTCTGATGTCTGACAGCTCTTCTGTGCTTCACAGCTATCCCAACGTCAACATCCACAACTTCACCACCAGCTGGCGTGATGGAATGGCTTTCAATGCCCTCATTCACAAACACAGGTAACAGTTGTGTTCAATGCACCAATCAGAGCTGAGCAGGGCCTTCTGACCAATCAGAGCAGGGTAGGGCAGTCTGGCCAATTAGAGGAGAGTAGGGCCATCTGACCAATCAGAGATGAGTAGGGAAACTTGACCAATCAGAGCAGAGTAGGGCCATTTGACCACACAGAGCTGAGTAAGGCCATCTGACCAATTAGATCCAAGCCATTTGATGAGTCAGAGCTGAGTCGGGTCATTTGGCCAATCAGAGAAACGTAAGGCCATCTGAATATAGCTGGGTTATCTAACTAGTCAGAGCTGATTGCCCTTGTCAAATGACCCTAGGGCCATGTGACCAATTAGAGCAGGCAATGGCCATCGTTTACATTTACATTTATTAATTTAGTCGATGCTTTTATTCAAAAGGACTGACAAACAAAGATAAAAGCCCTACTTCAAATCACCAGAGAGCAGCCATATATTGATGCCATGAAAATCAATCAGAACAGAGTGTGGTCATCTGACCAATCAGAGCAGAGTGTGACCCTCTGACTAAAGATATCTGACTAATCAGAGCAGAGTATGGACATCTGACCAATCAGATTGGAGTATGGCCATCTGATGAATTAGAGTATAGTTGGCCATCTGACCAATAAGAGCTAAGTAGGCTCATCCGACCAATTACAGCAGAGTTACCTGACCAATAAGAACTGAGTAGGCTCATCTGACCAATTACAGCAGGGTTATCTGACCAACAAGGGCTGAGTAGGGCCATCTGACCAATTACAGCAGAGTTACCTGACCAATAAGAACTGAGTAGGCTCATCTGACCAATTACAGCAGAGTTATCTGACCAATGAGGGCTGAGTAGGGCCATCTGACCAATTACATTAGAGTTATCTGACCAATAAGGGCTGAGTAGGGCCATCTGACCAATTACAGCAGAGTTATCTGACCAACAAGGGCTGAGTAGGGCCATCTGACCAATTACAGCAGAGTTACCTGACCAATAAGAACTGAGTAGGCTCATCTGACCAATTACAGCAGAGTTATCTGACCAATGAGGGCTGAGTAGGGCCATCTGACCAATTACATTAGAGTTATCTGACCAATAAGGGCTGAGTAGGGCCATCTGACCAATTACAGTAGAGTTATCTGACCAATAAGGGCTGAGTAGGGCCATCCGACCAATTACAGTAGAGTTATCTGACCAATAAGGGCTGAGTAGGGCCATCTGACCAATTACAGCGGATTTATCTGACCAATAAGAGCCAAGTAGGGCCATCTGACCAATCAGAGTAGGAGGAAGAGGCGTTTAGAGAGACCAGATCCTAAAACCAACCATTTAAAACATTATGAGAATGTTAGCTATTTTTGACATTGAATGGATGTAAATCTTATGGAAGAGTCTCCTGTGCTAAATTAGGAACTTTAGCAATAATAATAGCAAAATTAAGGGAACTTTGATTAACAGTGCTTTTTAATCTTTCCAGGCCAGACCTGATTGACTTTGACAAACTGAAGAAGTCCAACGCTCACTATAACCTGCAGAACGCCTTCAATCTGGCAGAACAGCATCTGGGTCTCACCAAACTCCTGGATCCTGAAGGTAAATTCAGTAATGAGTTTGGACTTCTTCATTATGAAGCACACTATAACACTTTGTTTTGTTTTGTTTTGTTGTTGTGCAGATATCAGCGTAGACCATCCCGATGAGAAGTCTGTCATCACTTATGTCGTCACATACTACCATTATTTCTCCAAGATGAAGGCCTTGAAAGTGGAGGGAAAACGTATTGGAAAGGTCTTTAAAGCCTTTAAAACACTTAAATCTGATTTCTGTTATCTGTTAATAGAGCATTTTATTGACTGATTGCTTCAGTATTGTGTGTCCTGTTTATTTTTATTAAATTTTTGTGCAATAAATATTATATTTATTTTAAATGCAAAGTTTAGTTTATTATAAATGATCATTTATTTAATGCTCATATTTAGTTTAAATCCTAAAAAAAAAATCATATTAAAAATAAAATGATTTACTTTTTAATTAAGGCGAAACAATAAAAATTTGAATAGTAAAAAAGTGACCAAAAAATTTTTTTGAAATGCAAATATTAGTAATATTTACATTTTTATGTTTATTATTTTACATCAGTTTAGAAAAAAATGGAAGCTAAAAAATAAACATATTGTATAAATGATTGAAATAAATTCGATATGGGTCACACTTTACAATAAGGTTCATTAGTTAATGTTAATTAATGCATTTTCTAACATAAACAAACAATGAATAATACATTTACTACTGTATTTGTTCATGCTAGTTAACGTTAGTTAATGAAAATACAGTAGTTCATTGTTAGTTCATGTTAACTCATGGTGCATTAACTAATGTTAATAATGCATTAATAAATGTTCAACTATGATTAATAAATGCTGTACATGTGTTGTTCATGATTACTTCATGTTAGTAAATTCATTAACTAATGAACCTTATTATAAAGTGTTAACTTAATATGTACAGTAACTATTAGATATTGTCTAATTTGAATATTTATATTAATAAAAAGCCACTGTTTTTAAAAATTAAAATTAAAATAAATATTTTTAGCAACTGAATAATTCAGTCTTTTCTGTTTTTTTATTATATGACTGTATATGTATTTTAGTATTAAATACTGTAATATCTAATTTAAATTATTAAATTACTTTCATTTGAATATTGATTAAATTTAAATTATATATATATATATATTTTTTAAAGCTATAACCTTATTGTTAAGCTCCCTTAAACTTAATTGAACTTAAATTCTATAGTGAATGAGACTCACATGGGCCATATGCACAGCTATATAAACCTCATGTTGAAAGGTTTATGTGACTAATTTCAGTCTCACACAGTTTCTTTTACAGCATCGATGTTGTCATGTAATTAAAATACAATCAGTTAAACAGACTTCAGCATTCATTTAGTTGTTTGAGCATAAAATGAGATGAATAACCGTTTAAATGCAAGCGCCGTCAGGAGCCGCAGGCGAGCGGGAAAACTACATTGAAAATACTAGGGTAAACATGCGGAACAATGTAAATTAAAGCAGTGTTTCTTGTTCATTCTGAGACCCACTTCATATCGTATATTAATCAGGCAGTGAAGATCACTGACTTTTAAAGAAAACAGACCTTAAACATGACGATTTTTTAACGCACCGGAAGCACTTGAACTGGGTTACTACTAATTAAAACTTCTTTTGCGTATATCCTATTCTAGGTGCTTGACAACGCCATCGAAACTGAGAAGATGATCGAGAAATATGAGTCTCTGGCGTCTGATCTGCTGGAGTGGATTGAACAAACCATCATCATCCTCAATAACCGCAAGTTTGCAAACTCTCTGGTTGGAGTCCAGCAGCAGCTTCAGGCCTTCAACACCTACAGGACCGTAGAGAAACCACCCAAGTGAGCGTCTGCCAGAAGCATACCACGCATTGCATTAAAACAAACAGCCAACTGAAGCTTATTTTCTGCTGTTTCTCCATAGATTCACTGAGAAGGGAAACCTGGAGGTGCTTCTGTTTACAATCCAGAGCAAGATGAGGGCTAATAACCAGAAGGTCTACATGCCACGAGAGGGAAAACTCATCTCAGACATCAACAAGGTCAAATTCACAGCATTTTCACTCATTTAACCTATATCAGAGAGGTTTTGTCTTGTTTTCTCAGCACAAGTAATTGAATCGTTTAAGATGCATTTTCTTCAGGACCAAGTTTGCATCAAAATAATGTGATTTTTTTTTTAATTTAAAATATATTAAATAGGTAAATATGCTAAAGGAGTCAATAAAATAGAACTAATTGAAAATGACAAAGTTATGTTTTTCTTGTCACTAATATTTTTTTCCTGTGTTACAAATATACTGACTTTAATTTGCATTTGAAAAAACAGGAGTTGTACTAAAAAAGGCAAAAATAGTTTAGTTTCTTTCATTAAAATGGTAAAAATATTATCTTTAAAATGTTTTATTTTTGCAATTTTTTCATTTAAAAAAATAATAACGTTTAACTCATGCATTTTATTTTAAATATAAATTAAAATTAGGGTTCGGCCGATAGACGATGGCATCGACCATCGCCGCTGACCAATAGACAACATGATGCTTAAGCCTGGTTTATACTTCTGCGTCAAGTGACCGGCGTAACTCACAGCGCAGGCAACGCGCGCAGCTGTGCATTTCTACTTCTGCTGCTTTCTCTGTTGGTCTGCATTAACACTTCCGAAACACTAGTGGGCAGTGAGGTGTTTATGTTCCTCTGTGTCGAGTTTCTTCGCTGCCGTTTTGCTTTTCCTGAACACTTCCGGGATGTACAAGTGGCTCAAACTCGCTCATTTTGAGGCAGGAACTGGCGGACGTGCAACAACTTTAACTATGAGGTAAACACAGAACAAAACTTTCCATCCGGAGCTCCTTCACGGGACTCCACACTTGTAAACAATCGCTCGCGCCATTCGCGCGGCTCTCGGTTTCCGCCCAGACTCATCAGCGCTACCAAGCCGACCAATCACAGAGCTTGCGCTACATGTTGTTGCGATGTGTAGTTACATTTTTTGAGAGGTGCACATCAGTGACGCCGACGGCCACGTCGAAGGGCTATGCGTCAGCCATGTAGCATACGCCGGCGTTTGACGCAGAAGTATAAATCAGCCTTTAGCCGGCAAAGCCAATCCTCCGCCCTGCCCCCGTCGCAAACCCGCTCGAGAAAAATACACACTCAGGCCCCGTTTACACTAATACGTTTTAGTGTTAAAATGGCATTTTAGAACAAAAATGATCCACATCCACACCGTTTTACCTAGCATTTCTGAAAAGCCCTCTGTCTGCTGAAAACGCACTTTACATGACCACACACACACACGCAGACAGAGCCACACAGACACACACACCCCATTCACATGAGGCTTCAGCGTCAACGCTTGACAGTGGGCGTGTCTGAAGTTGTGGCTGACGCGATTGTCATAGCAGCGTCAGCCAATGAAATTGGTCAGTAATAAGACCACTGTCTGAGCTGGTGTATTTGCATACAGCGATCCTATTGGCTGATGCTTCCGTCAGCGCTTAAAGTTGAGCAAGTCCTAACTTTTGCAGCAAGCAACACCTCTGAAGCGGCACCAACGGATTCACAATGCCGTTCGGCAACGCCTGACATCATATTCAGAGTGATTGGGAAGCGTAGAAGCTGATGCCCCGTGTTAATGGGACGACACTGTCATGCACTCCTCTGAGCTCCAGGCAGAGAGCAGTGCACGTCGTACAGTTCAGTTATCAAGGATGTACCCCTGGATCATGTCTCACTATAGTTGTTAAACGTTCCAGAGGTTCCGGGGATGTCTATGCATTTGCGGGACTCATAATGCAAACGAGTGATAATTTCCTGGAAATCGTGCGTCTCCCGGTCCTCAAATAAGTTGTGCACCCTTCTCACTCTCGGATCCCTTCTTGCTCTTCATCCATTGCAATGTTTCACATTAGACACCAAATTGGTTGACATCGCCCAGCCCTAATTAAAACTTTCAAAAATTAAACAATTTATTATTTATTAAATAAAAAAATAATAAATGGATGCATAACCTACAATCTGCAATATTGACTAGATATTAAAATAAGTAATTCAATGTATAATATATTTTTTCAAATAAGAAAAATCTCATTTCCCAATATTAGCTGGAAGGGCATCCGCTGCGTAAAAAACTTGCTGGATAAGTTGGCGGTTCATTCCACTGTGGCGACCCCAAATTAATAAAGGGACTAAGCAGACAAGAAAATAAATGAAGAAATGAAGAAAAATCTCATATTAGGTCCTCTCTTTGATTTTTATTTTTATTTTTATTATGCTTAAAATATGTAAAATTTTTAAAATGTGTGTGTTTTTTTTATGTTTTCAGTTTTTCTAAAATAAACAACAAAATATGTCTGTGAGTGAAGCATTTTTCTCTTAAGCGTAAGCTGGCCTGATCTTGATGGACTTTTTTGTAGTTTTTTTAATATGTATTTGAAATGAAAAACAAGACAATTCGTTTATGCACCTATTTATGCATAGCTAAACACCATGCAAGTATGACTGTCACTATGAATGTGCATTCTGTGAAGACAAAACTCTGCTAAATCTCAGTATTGTATGAAATCTAATCCAGTAATTTTCCTTTAGCAGGTTAGCATTAAAAGGCATAAGCTGCACATATGATTCTGCAGTATTTTACTGAAGTAAATGTGTGTATGTGTGTGTGTGTTGACTAATATGCTGTGGTTTCAGGCGTGGGAGCGTCTGGAGAAAGCCGAACACGAGCGAGAGCTGGCGCTGAGGACTGAACTCATCCGACAGGAGAAGCTGGAGCAGCTCGCCAGACGCTTCGACCGCAAAGCAGCAATGAGAGAAACCTGGCTGAGCGAAAACCAGCGGCTCGTTTCACAGGTGACACTCTCACACATCACACACACTTACACACATAATAATCCTGGACTGCAGCTGCAATGTTATCTCACTATTTGAAGCACTTTTGTGCCCCCTGGTGGTGAAGTGTTTAAAGGACGCACAGGACGGTCGTTTCTTCTTTATTATTTATTTACAATATTAGTTAAAAGGGCAAAATTATATTTAAATATTTATTTAGCAGTATGTTGTTTTAAAACTTGAAAATCTGAGAACTAAGCTAATTTTTTTCACAACAAATCTATTAATATTTCTTTGTTGTTATTACTTGATGCATATTATAATTTCTATTAAACTGCATAATTTTATTGTGATTTTTTTTCATAATTTTTCCAAAAGTAAACATACATGATATTTATAATGCATTTTTACTATATGGTATTTCTTATATGTTTTACTAAAATATATTTCTAAAATTTTTTATGGAAGTAAATGTTTAAAATTAAATTATTTATATTATTTTAATCATTTTTACCATTAAAATCAGTAACTCTAAATTAGTATTTTGCATAATTGGGGTAAAAAAGCATTACAAATTTCAATAAAAATGGGTTAATTTGCCAGGAAAATTGCATTTTTTTAAATTATTTAATATTAGGATGATGATCACCAGCAAACTCTCAGATTGAGCTGCATTTCCAATGAGGTTATAACATTATTATCTTTAACATGGATAAATATTTGTGCATCTTTAATATTTAAATTCCCATTTTTCTTCTGCAGGACAATTTCGGATTCGACCTCCAGGCGGTCGAGGCAGCAACCAAAAAACACGAAGCCATTGAGACTGATATAGCAGCGTATGAGGAGCGTGTACAGGCGGTGGTGGCCGTGGCCCGAGAGCTGGAGACTGAAAACTATCACGATATCAAGCGAATCACAGCGCGCAAAGACAACGTGCTGCGGCTGTGGGAGTATCTGCTGGAGCTGCTGAAGGCCCGCAGGCAGAGGCTGGAGATGAACCTCAGTCTGCAGCGCGTCTTCCAGGAGATGCTCTACATCATGGACTGGATGGACGAGATGAAGGTCAGCGTAAAAGTCTTTGCACACTGAAGTTGAAATTTTCATGCATTTTGTTTTTCGTATGCATTTATTACTTGTGGCAAAATACCTCTCAAAGCATTTCTTCCAATGCAAACCCCCCCCCAGGTGACTGCAAACCTAAGGTCGCATATACGCTATTCAGTTTCTGAATGGATTAGGCACAAGCCAACAGTTTAGTGACGCTGTCTGAGCCTTACATCATAATTTTATAATAATGCACGGTAATACTTTATACCGGGGTAAAATAGGGAGGAGGTTTGACGGTATCAAAATTTGGATACCGCTCAAGCCTACAATGAAGTGATGTTTATGGCCTAAAATGACAGATTTTATTGATGGCTTTTCTCAAAACTTGGCAACATTAGCTTTAATTCTTGTGTTTTTCTGTAGAACTACAACTTATTTTACCATTGAACTTGCAAAATGCTGTAAGGGCTGAGAAAGCTGAGCATTTCCTGAGTGAAAGTTGTTTCTACATCGATTGTATTCAGTGACGCCTTCATTTAGCAGATGCACGTTACAAATGAGGAGCATCAAGTTTATTTTAATCTTAAGAGCCATCAGACTTTAGCATAATCAAGATTGCTTCATCTACATAGCAAGTAGAATATGCATCTTAATATGCAGCTTTTAGTTTGACGTGCTGACGGTCGTCTGCTGTCCTCCACAGATGCTGCTGTTGTCTCAGGATTATGGGAAGCATTTGCTGGGAGTTGAAGATCTGCTGCAGAAACACGCTCTGGTGGAGGCTGATATCGGCATTCAGGCCGACCGCGTCAAAGCCGTCAACAACAACGCACAGAGATTTGCTGTGGATGAGGAGGGTGAGACTTAATAAACCAGAGATAAACATAAGCACACACTCAAAAAATATTGCATGTTTTACTTACTTAAAATGCGCTGAAACAACTCAATTCTTGAGATTTCATTGGGATAACTTTTGTTAAAAAAATTTGTTAAAATTATTAACTTAATCGGTTTGTGTTGGGACAACATGAATGAAATATGTGAAATCCAGCATTATTTACAGTGCATGAGTAGGAGAATGTTTACATGGACATCAGTAATCTTATTATTTGCCCTAATCTGAATAAGACAATAATCTGATTAAGGTGTTTACATGAGTTTCCTTATTACGTGTTATAGTGCACAGATGATTAACGTCTTTACATCAACATTTGATGCTAGTTTCCTTCTCCGGCAACATCAGTTTGGGTTACACTGTATTTTGGTGGTCCATTTGCTGAATTTAAGCATTGCATATACAAGCCAAATAATTCTTATTAGATTATAAGTAGACTGTTAGGTTGGGGTTGTTGTTAGTGTAAGTTGGCATGTACTTGCAAAGTTTCTTATAGGCAGTTAAATGTCTGTTGAATGTCTGCATCAACAGATATTAAGCAGACAGTCTACTAATACTCAAATGGACCATCAAAATAAAGTGTTACCTCAGTTTGTGTTGTCATGCATTCATCTAGTTTTATTTTGCTCAACTGCAATTAATTTCTCACACCCATTTTGCCTGAATATATATGTATACAGTATAGTTTTGTGAGGTTCCCACAGTCATGAAAAACCTGGAAGTAACTTCACTAATTTAAAAATTGTGATTTCCAGGTCAGGAAAAATCAAGGAAAATTAATAACTTAGAAAAGAAACTGAATAGCCATGAAAGTTTACTGTACACAATAGTGAACAGGTTTGTGGAGAACATCTGATTAAAGTGTTTTGACCAGCACTGCCACCTTTTTAATTATAAGGTATCTGCACTTTTTCTCAAAATTAAGTTATTCACATATTCATATTTGTGACATTATCTGCTGTTTCTATTTAAAAGCAGTGTGCAATAATTTATTTAATTATATTTAATATTAAATTATTATTAAAAAATTAAATATTATTATACTATAAATTAAAAATTTCTTAAAATTTGTCATCATTTACTCGCCCTCTAATTGTTCCGAACCAGTTTAAGTTTCTTTATTCTGCTGAACACAAAAGAAGACATTTTTCTTCTTTGAATTTAAATGGGGCGTCATGGTGGCACAGTGGGTAGTACAATTGCCTCACAGCAAGAAGGTCGCTGGTTCGAGCCTCGGCTGGGCCAGTGGGCATTTCTGTGTGGAGTTCTGCATGTTCTCCCCGGGTTGGCGTGGGTTTCCTCCAGGTGCTCCGGTTTCCCAAACAGATCCAAAGATACAGTTGAAACCAGAAGTTCATATGATATGTTTATAAGTATGATAATGATATGATCATTTGTAAGTCGCTTTGAATAAAAGCGTCTGCTAAATGTAAATATACACTGTATTAAAAGACACATAACAACTTTTTAAAAAGTCAGATGTTAATGTGCCTAAACCTTTTCTCTTTTGGGTAAGTCAGGATTATCACATTTGTTTCTGTTCCGCTTAATAGCAGAATAACGAGAGAGAGATTTTTTGAGAAATTGTTATAACTCTTCTTTAAAGTCAAGTTTACACACAATAAGATTATTCTGCCTCTGAAAAAGCTCAGATGATGATGTCAAGGTTTTGGAAGTTTCTGATTGGCTAATTGACAACATTTGAGTTGATTGAAGGCACAACTGTAGAATAGTATTTAAGGAAAAGCTCAAACACACTGCTTCCTTGTGTGACAACATGGGAAAATCAACAAGAAAGAATCAACCAAAAAGCCAGATTACAATTAGCTAAATTACACTGGGAAAAAGAGTAATGTTTGGAGACATGTGCTGTGCTCTGATGGAGCTAAGATTGAACTGTTTGGCCATAATGAGCAGTGTTACATTTGGAGGACAAAGGGGAAAGCGCACAAGCCTAGGAACACCATCCCAACTGTGAAGTATGGGGGCGGCAGCATCATGTTGTGGGGCTGTTTTGCTGCAGGAGGGACTGGTCCACTTCACAGTATAGATGGCATCATGAAGAAAGAACATTATGTAGAAATACTGGAGCAACATCTCAAGACATCAGCCAGGAAATTACAACTTGGCCACAAATGGCTCTTCCAAACAGACCATGACCCTAAGCACACTGCCAAATGAGTTCAAATGTGCTTTAAGGACTTTAATAGAGTGAATGTTTTGGAGTGGCCATCACAAAGCCCTGATCTCAATCCTATAGAAAACTTGTGAACACTGTTGAAAAAGATTGTCCGAGCAAGACAAGCCTACAAATCTGACTCAGTTCACCGATTCTGTCAGGAGGAATGGGCCACAATTCCTGCAAACAATTGTGAGAAGCTTGTGGAAGGAGACACAAAACATTTGACCAAAGTTTAAAAGCAAAGCAAAAAAAACAAAACAAATAAATGCATGTAAACTTTTGACTATCTAGAAATTAATCAAATGTCTCAAAAAAAAATCTCTCATTATCCTGCCATTTAGCAAATGTAAAATGTAAATCATTTAGGTAATCCTAACAGACCTAAAATAGTAAACTGACCCAAATTGACCATCAGACATTTAAAAAAAATAGTATGTTCTTTTTTTAGAGTGTATGTAAAATTATATATATATATATATATATATATATATATATATATATATAATATCCCCATAATAATATTGCTCAGAATGCAGATGAAACCCTAGAATCCCAAGATGCCAATCACCCATTTTTTCTCTGTCTTCTAATGCTTTCTCCTCTCTGTCCTGCTATAGGCTATAAACCGTGTGACCCTCAGGTCATCCGTGACCGTGTGGCCCACATGGAGTTCTGCTATCAAGAACTGACACAGCTCGCAGCCGAACGCCGCGCTCGTCTAGAAGAGTCCCGCCGCCTCTGGAAGTTCTTCTGGGAGATGGCAGAAGAAGAGGGCTGGATTCGAGAAAAAGAGCAGATATTATCCTCCGACGACTGCGGGAAGGATCTAACCGGCGCCGTGCGTCTTTTAAGCCAACATCGTGCTCTGGAAGACGAAATGAGCGGTCGTTCTGGACACCTCCAGCACACTGTACGCGAAGGCCAAGCCATGGCTGATGCTGGTCACTTCGGTGAAGCTAAAATCCGAGAACGCATCGCTGACGTCCAAGCGCAGTGGGCGGCTCTAGAACAGCTTGCATCTGTAAGAAAAACCCGTTTGGAAGAAGCGTGTAGCCTTCATCAATTCCAAGCTGATGCTGATGACGTCGACACGTGGACGTTAGACGCTCTTCGAATCGTTTCCACCGCTGACGTCGGCCATGATGAGTTTTCAACCCAAGCTTTGGTCAAGAAACATAAAGACGCATCAACTGAAGTGGCTAGCTATCGTCCAGTCATCGACGCTCTTCATGAACAGGCCCAGACTCTTCCTCCTGAGCAGGCGAACAGTGCTAATGTTAGCGAGCGGCTGGCGGGCATCGAGGAGCGTTATAAGGAGGTTTCGGAGTTGACCAGGCTGAGGAAGCAGGCTTTGCAGGACGCCCTGGCGCTTTATAAGATGTTCAGCGAAGCGGACGCATGCGAGCTCTGGATTGATGAGAAAGAGCAGTGGTTGAACAGCATGGAGATCCCGGAGAAACTAGAGGATCTGGAGGTCATTCAGCACAGGTGAGAATGTGTGTTTGGTGTCGTAATAAAATCACAGAATTAAAAGTGCTTTCACACAGACTCGCACATAGGGCCCTATTATACACCCGGCGCAGTGTGGCGCAAGGCGCGACGCAATTGTTTGCTAGCTTCAGCTTGGCGCAAGAGTCTTTTGATGTTTTGCAGCACGCTGTTTAAATAGCAAATGCATTTGCGCTCATATGTGCGCCCATAGGCGTTCTGGTCTAAAAAAGGAGGTGTGTTGAGGCGCATTGCTGGCGCGTTGCTATTTTGAGGAACTAAAATAGACTGCACAATAGACCAGATCAAAGCTGGTCTAAAGTCCAGCGCAGAGATCGTTATTTGTGAGCCTTGCTTAGACATTGCTTAATACAGTGGTCCCCAACCCCCGGGCCGCGGACCGGTACAGGTCCGTGGATCAGTCAGTACCGGGCTGCACAAGAATGAATGATCTTTAAGTTGGCAGATAAAGTAGCTGCGTTTAAAGCCAAACTGAGGCATATTGGACATGTTTCAAACATTAGCGGGGATTTTGTGTGAGACTGAGGCCCCGTTTACACTAATGCGTTTTAGTTTGAAAACTCATAAGTTTTGCTACGGTTACGCCAACCGTCCACACTACGCCGGAGTTCTCGAGCGTCGAAAACGGAGCGTTTCGAAAACGCTGGAGAGGCCGTTTTCATTCTGAAACGCTGCTGCTCCGTCTCAGTGTGGATGATGAAAAACGGAGACATCTGAAAACGGAGGCGGGGCTGCAGACATTCGCCTCTCTGATTGGGGCTTTTCCTGAATATTAAGTAGCCTAACACGCACAGTTTAGTCCTGCATTCTCTCCTTGTAAGTTCAGACTTCGCAAGTTTGATCAAGGCTGCAGTCTCCCCCTTCTCAGTTTGATATGGAAAACATACCGAGGACACGGGTAAATCTTCAAAGGGAACAGTGTACTTTATAACTTCATTCACATCACCCTGGCTTCGTTGTTTCACTTTCTCAACAATAAAATGTAAACATGATTTAAGGAACTGCCTATTTTCATTTTAATATTAGCAACTTAGACAGCAGAAATGTTGAGGCGTCGTGCTGCATAAGATGAGCGTCATCTTCACTGTGTGGATATTTATAACTAAACGGAGCCGATAACAACTGCCTCCTTTCAATTTCAGTGAAAATACGAAACACACCCTCTCTTTTGCTTTTGAGTATCAGTTTTAATAATCGATAATGGCCATTTTAAAAGTATAACATACAATAAGTTTATACATTATAGGAAATAAAGGCAAGCGATCAGTCAATATACAGAATAGGCTAAGGTTACTCATTAACTTATCTTTGCGCTCAGCCAAAACACGTTACCTGAGAACAAGTAATAGATTCAAAGATCAAAGTCAGGGAATATGTCGTTAGATAAAGACAACAAGATAAATGAAAGTTCCCGTTTAATAAATATAGTGAGATTAGATCCAGCGGGAGATGCTTGATGAGAAGTCCGGCTAGCAGAGCTCTCATCTGGGTAGACAGGCTGCAGCACTTGCCAAAGTGTGTTTGTGTGGTCACGTGATGTGCGTTTTCAGCGTTTTGGTGTGGACGGAGAGCAGTTCAGAAACGCTGGGTAAAACGCGAGTGTGGACGCGGATCGTTTTCATTCTAAAACGCCGTTTTAAAACTAAAACGCACTAGTGTAAACGGGGCCTGAGCCTGCGCCCTCACTCACCAAGCTGGTGCACGATCATCAGTCTTCGCTGTTAAAGGAGTTTGATTGCTACTTCCCAACCTCAAAGGACCCACAAACGGCTAGGGAATGGATACGTGACCCATTTGTCAACAAACCAGCATGTTCGTGCAAGAAGAAGACCAACTTCTGGAGATCGTAAATGACGGCGGCCTTAAAACAGTGCTCGAGACAACAACTCTTCCGGTGTTCTGGATTAAAGTAACGGCAGAATACCCAGAGATCGCTAACACAGCGCTGAAAACCCTGTTGCCATGTCGAGATGTACATGATATGTGTGTTCTGGCGCTCACAGGCTGTTTCACGGGCACACGCAAAGCTTGAAGGTAAACAAACAACGGCTTGTCATAAGCATCTTATCGATAATTATTGACACGGTTGGCATTAAGAAGAACATATAAACGTTATCTGCCTAATTTCTATCAGCTAAATGTGTTTGGAAAAATATTCAAAGGCTTTTATTCTCATAAACCGCGCGGACGTGAATGCGTCTGACTGTTCTGATTGGCTAAAGCAGACGTCTCACGTCAGCACGTTCTAGACGTGCACGCGCTCGTTACAACTGAATTTAGAAATAGTTTTGAAACAAATCTTTGCGCTTAACAAATGAAATTAATTATGTAGGCTAATAGATGTCTGTGCGTACAACACGTTTCCCTATCCACGAGAGCGAAAATGAAAGTAGATAATGATCAGGCCTCATCTCTCATTCCCGCACTGTAGATGCTCTGTTAACTGTTTTCTCACTAGTGAAACGTTCAATTTTTCTACTTACAAAATACGCCATGTAAATAGCAAATGCGCCATGGCGCGACGCAACTGACTCTTAAAGGGAATAGGAGATGAGACTCTGATTGATTTATCCTCAAAACACACCTATAACTCATTAAGAGAATAAGCTCAACCCTGTTAGACCGTGCGCCACAGCGCAAAGCAGATTTTTCAGTCCTTAAAATAGCAAAAGTGGATTTTGACACGCTCTGAACGCGTCTGCGCCCTGTGCTTTGCACTTTGCACATGGATCGTCCAAATAGAGCCCTTTGTTTGCGCACCAAATTGGACCAAACAATGGTCTCAGTATGCATTTAAACCAACCCTGGAGTGGTTCATTTGTGGTGGGAAAGTGAAGCGACCTCTGACTAACCCTAATGCAAAAAGTACCTCGCTTTTTAAGATGAGAAAAGGTTTTTTGACACTTTGCTACATTTTAACGCCGCATTAATTGTGATGTTAAATGTGCAGTACAGGAAATTCATCTAGCCAACGACTGATGTGAATGTTGGCATGTGACTGCTTTTAGGTTTGTTTCAGCTGGCTTGCTTCAGTGCAGTCGGTCTGGTGTGAAACGGAAACAAAATTGCTGTAAAATGCTACGATATATAATTTTTAACCTTACGAAAAGCACTACAGGTGTAAAAGCAATCTACGAGTGGAATACATGGACGAATAATACATTGGATGAAACACACGCTGATATTTCACAGGGTTCAACCCTTCTTGAAAGTACTTGAATTTCAGGCCGTACTCACACTAGGTACAGTTGCCTCGAACCGGGCCAAAGCACGCTTGTCCCCCCTCCCGTCTCCCCCGACGGCCCGTGCTCACACCAAAAAAATGGGCCTCGGCACGCTTGCGTCATCACTGCTGCGCTGTCCAGTGAGAAGCGCTCTCTCACTCTGCAGCACAGTGGAGATTTCTCTAGTTATATCGTTTCAGTGGTTTGATATGCAGTGACATGCAGTCAAATATTTCACCAAACAGTCCTTAGGGATGCTGGGACACGCAGTCAGATATTTCGCCGAACAGATCCGCCACTTTTGGCGCTCATAAACAATCATAAAGCCCTCGTGCTGCAGGAATGAGGAGGTCTGCTGAAGGTGCAGCTGTCGTGCTGTGAGGGGTTTGCGTCTTTAATAAACTACGGCAGTTTGCGTTCACTGAACAGTAAGAATGATTAACAAATCCATATGAAACAGTCCCTTAAAAGTCACGTCTCGCTTTCAGTTTCGGGCTTTGGCGCATTTTGCACTCACACACAAGCGTACCGCGCCAAAGCCCAAGTGAACCGCGCTCAGGCCCACCTCTTCCAACCGGGCCAGGGCCGGCCAAGTGAACCGTGCTTGAGCCAGATTCAGCGCACTCACACTTTTCAAACGATCCGGGAAACGGGCCTGGGCACGGTACGGATGGCATAGTGTGAGTAGGCCCTCAGACATGTGGCCTGGGAAGTACTTAAAAACAAACAGGTTCTTGAAGGTGCTTGAATTAAATTTTAAATAAATTAGTTTTTGGTGTTATTTCATCAATTGTCATGCTGCTGTCAGAAACAGAATGAAAAACAAAACAAAAAAGTTGTAATTCAAACATCTTAAAATAATGTCTTGTACAAGAAAAAATAATGTACGTTTTATAAATATTTCAGAAACCACATTTGACTTACTAGTTTTGAATTCAACATCTTTTATTAAAGTTCAGTAAACATGACTCTTTACCATGTTGAGTACAGTAAGGACTTTTATGGTGCTACTGTACAAATGCTGGGGGTGTACATTTCAATGGTGCTTGATTTGAAATCAATGGTGCTTCTTGAAAGTTCTTGTATTGGCTGTTTAGTGAATGCATCTTGAATGCTTATGATAAGTTATTGTTATGAATTTGTTTGTCATACAATAATCAGTTATTTTGGTTTTTCTCAAGCCAACGTAATTAGGAGCGTTTACCGCCGCATCTGTTCATGCTGAGTCACGCTGCTGGAGAACAGCAGTACACATGAAAGCCTGGACATTTGCTGCGCTCGATAACAGATTGAGCTCGCTGTACTGCGGTCGCATATCACTGTCTCCGTTTCTCAAGGACAAATTGGCCCATATTGCAATTATTATTTTTCAGAACTGCTGCGTTTAAAAATATATATAATTAAATAGCTGGAATATGTATAAACAGCAATGACAACCAGAATTGATAGTATCTAAATAGCATTTAGCAATCATAGTCATAATAATCACAATAATAATAAAAAATAATTATTATATTAATGATATTACAAAATATATGTTAAAAGTATTAATCTGTGATGACCAACGGTGTCAAAAATAATATAGTAATAATCATGTAATATCATGTACACAAACATATAACAAAATACTACAATATACCCAACACATACCACATCTATCCTAGCTTCTGTGTTGTTGAACATCTTAATAAATATGTGAAATTTTGTAAAATTTTATAAAAAATTTTATGGTGTTTTAGGTTTGAGAGTCTGGAGCCTGAAATGAATAACCAGGCCTCACGTGTGGCTGTGGTCAACCAGATCGCCAGGCAGCTCATCCACAGCGGACACCCCAGCGAGAAGGACATCAAGGCCCAACAAGACAAACTCAACACCAGGCAAGTCATAGCACTTAGTGGAAAGGATAACATGTTGTAAGATTTTTTTTTTCTATTTAATTAACTGGACAGAAAGCACACATACCTGCTGAAAACAATCTAACCACTAAAATCTGAATCAAATGTTTTTTTGTTTTTTGGATAAAAATTGTGTTTTTGTTTTTTCACAATTTAAATTTTTTTTTTAATATTCCCCAAATTATGATGAACAGAGCAAAGAAATTTTCACAGCATTTTTCATTAATTTTAATGATTTTCACTGATAATATTTTTTCTTCTGAATAAAGTCTTATTTGTTTTATTTCAGGTAGAATAAAAGCAGTTTTCAATTTTTTTAAAAACATTTTAGGGACAAAAATTAGCCCCTTCAATCTATATTTTTTTCGATTGTCTACAGAACAAACCATGGTTGTACAATAACTTGCTGAATTAGCCTAACCTGCCTAGTTAACTTAATTAACCTAGTTGAGCCTTTAAATGTCACTTTAAGCTGTATGAAAAATGTCTAGTAAAATATTATTTACTGTCATCATGGCAAAGATAATTTAAATTAGTTATTACAAATGAGTTATTAAAACTATTATGTTAAGAAATGTGTTGAAGAAATCTGCTTTCCATTTAACAGAAATCGGGGACAAAAATAAACAGGGGGGCTGATAATTCAGGGACTTAAACTGTGTGTATATGTATATATATATATATATATATATATATATATATATATATATATATATATATATATATATATATAGGGCTTTACGTTAACTTTTTTGATCACCAGCCACTGTGGCTAGTGGATTTCCAACATTACTAGCCATTTGCCATTTTCACTAGCCACAATTTTGTTGTTTAAAAAATATATTTTATATAAATAAATGTGACTTTAACATGCTAAAATGACTTGATTTAGATGTTGTGTTGTCCCAGATCAGCAGTTACTACATACAAATGGTTGGTTAATCTCATCTTAAAGAAATGTTATTGTAAAGGAGGATAATTTAACTATATTAACAAAAATAACTGTAAGCAAAAGAAAGCAGGTAAAATACCACGAGTGATAGTGAAAGGATGATCACGTGCCTGAGAATAATTAAAACAAAAGCAGTGACTGCTGCTGTTGCTGACAAATATATATGTTTTTCAATCTTGAGCTCTTAAAAGCAGCAGGACTGTGGGTACACGAGCATTGTTTTTTGTCTAGTCTTTTTCAAAGAGAACCGAACACAAGTGAACGGAAAAAATCGCAAGTAAACGGGAGCGCGCACGCGCTTTAAAGTCGCGTGCATTGCATCACCTGTGCGCGCGAGTAATCATCCTCTCATACGGTATTCACATCCTCTCATACGGTATAACACAGTTATTGTTTTCAGTCGTGCTGTTTCTCGATTCTAAGATCACATTTGCACGCATATTGGGCCATCCTTATTGTCGAACCCTGCTTTAAGAAAACTACAATGTAAAAATTATGTCCAACCTGCTAAAGTGGCTAGTGGGAGCAGCTGTCTAACCCGCAAAAGCTGAAATCTACCCGCATTTGGCGGGTTGGCGGGTGTTAATGTCAAGCCCTATATATATATATGTATATATATATATATATATATATATATATATATATATATATATATATATATATATATATATATATATTAATATATATATATGTATGCATATATATGTATATATATGTATATATATATATGTATATATATATATATACATACACAAATATATACACACAAATATATAAATATATACACACAAAAAAATATATATATGTATGTATGTGTGTATGTATGTGTATATATATATATATATATGTATGTATATATGTATATATATATATATATATATATATATATGTGTGTGTGTGTGTGTGTGTGTGTGTGTGTGTGTGTATATATATATATATCTGGCACAATGACGAACACAAATCATAAAAATTAATCTTAAAATTTTCATCTCTTGTCAAGACGAGATCTAAAACGGTAGGGATTAATCCAAGGAAGGTTGTATAACTCTTATTTTTATTAACGATCTTACTTACTCTCAGATTTCACTCCCTGGAGCATCTGACATCATGTCACACATGGGACATGCATTAGGGCTTTCCCTACCGTAACACACCTTAGGGTTGGGCCGATAGCCGATGCCATCGTCCATCACAATGCTAAATGCATACATTTTCCTTCTATATTTTAGTTCTTAAGTTCAAAGAAAAACGCGATAAATGTATATTTTGGAATTAAAATATTAATAACCCTGCTTCTCCACAGGTGGAGTCAGTTCCGTGATCTGGTGGACCAGAAGAAAGAGTCTCTGAACTCCGCTTTGGGAGTCCAGAACTACCATCTTGACTGCAACGAGACCAAATCCTGGATCCGTGAGAAAACAAAAGTCATCGAGTCCACGCAGGAGCTGGGGAATGACCTGACAGGAGTGATGGCTCTACAGCGCAAACTCACCGGCATGGAGCGGGATCTGGCCGCCATCGAAGCCAAACTAGGAGACCTCCGCGGAGAAGCAGATAGATTAGCCGGAGAACATCCCGACCAGGCCAAAGCCATCACGGGACGGCTAGCTGAAATCACCGCGGTTTGGGAGGAGATGAAGGAAACCCTCCGAACCCGTGAGGAGTCTCTTGGGGAAGCCAGCAAACTCCAGCAGTTCCTCCGAGAGCTGGACGATTTCCAGTCTTGGCTATCCCGCACACAGACGGCCATCGCTTCTGAAGACATGCCTAACACATTAGCTGAAGCCGAGAAGCTGCTAGCCCAACACGAAGGCATCAAGAATGAGATCAACAACTATGAAGAAGACTACCAGAAGATGCGGGACATGGGAGAGATGGTGACGCAGGACCAGACGGACGCTCAGTACATGTTCCTAAGGCAGAGGCTCCAGGCGCTGGACACCGGCTGGAATGAGCTTCACAAGATGTGGGAGAACCGACAGAACCTGCTGTCTCAGTCTCACGCCTACCAGATCTTCCTCAGAGACACCAAACAAGCAGAGGCCTTCCTCAACAACCAGGTATTGTAGATAGAGAAGACTGAACATCTACGGATGAGTGTAATTTACATAGCAACACCCTAGTGACCAACAAGAGTGTGCTTTTGACTGAATTGCAACAATCAGGATCCCTCTCATCCATCCATCCATTAATATGCAGCATCCATCCACCATATATAAATATCCAGAATCCATCCATCCTTCCAACATACATATATCAAACATCCATCTATCCATCCATATATATATATATCCAGCATCCATCCACCATATATAAATAACCAGCATCCATCCATCCTTCCAACATACATATATCCAACATCCATCTATCCATCCATATATATATATATATATCCAGCATCCATCCACCATATATAAATATCCAGCATCCATCCATCCTTCCAACATACATATATCCAACATCCATCTATCCATCCATTTGATCTTCGAACATACATATATTCAGCATCCATCCATCCATTTATCTATCCATATGTCCTGCATCTACCCATCCATATATCCAGTGTCCATCCATTCATCCATATATGCAGCATCCATCCATCAATATTCAGAATCCATCCATCCATTTGTCTATCCATCCATCCATATATATACCCAGCATTCATCCATATATCCAGCATCCATCCATCCATCTTTACAAATATATATCTAGCATCAGTCTATCTGTCCATGCATCCAGCATCCATCTATCCATCCATCCATATATCCTACATTCACCCATTTATATATCCAGTTTCCATCCATCTGTCCGTGTATCCAGCATCCATCCATCAATATTCAGAATCCATCTTTCCATCCATCCATACTTCCAACATCCATATATCCTGCATCCATATATCCTGCATCCATATATATATATATATATATATATATATATATATATATATTCAGCATCCATCTATCCATCTTTATAATATATATTCAGCGCCCCTCTATTCGTCCATATGCCCATCCATCCATCATCCATAAATATTAAGCATCCATCCAAACTTCTTTTTAGATATAGATATATATATATATATATATAAAATGTCCTTCTATCCGTACATATGTCCATCCATCCATCTTGAAAAAATACATATATTTAGCATCAATCTGCCCATATATACAGCATCCATCTCTCCATTCATCCATCCATATATCATGCATTTACCCATCCATATATCCAGTGTCCATCATCCATCCATCCATCCATCCGTTCATATATCCTGCATCCACCCATTTATGTATCCAGTTTCCATCCATCCATATATCCAGCATCCATCTATCAATATTCAGAATCCATCTATTCCTCCATCCACCCTTCCAACTTCCATATGTCCTGCATCCATCCATGTATATATCCAGCATCCATGCATCCATCTTAAAAAATATATATATCTAACATCAATCTACCTGTCCATGTATTCAGCATCCGTCTGTTCATCCATATATTCAGCATCCATCCATCTTTATAAATATATATCTAGCATCAATCTTTGTCCATATATCCAGCATCCATCTATCCATTTATCCATCCATCCATCCATATATATTCAGCATCCATCCATCCTTCTTTATAAATATATATTCAAAATCTATATATATCCATTCATCCATCTATTCATCTTTCTTTACAAATATATATCTAGCATCAATCTATATGTCCATATATCCAGCATCCATCTATCCATTCATCCATCCATCCCTCCATTCAAATATATCCAGCATCCATCTATCCATTCATCCATCCATTCATATATATTCAGCATCCATTCATCCATCCATCCATCCATCCATTCATTCATATATTTTCAGCATCCATCCATCCATCCATCCATCCATCCATATATATTCAGCATCCATCTATCAATCTTTATAATATATATTCAACGTCCCTCTATTCGTCCATATGCCCATCCATCCATCCATCCATCTATCCGTCCATCTTTGTAAATATATATCCAGCATCCATCCATCCATTCATTCATATATTTTCAGCATCCATCCATCCATCCATCCATATATATTCAGCATCCACCTATCAATCTTTATAATATATATTCAACGTCCCTCTATTTGTCCATATGCCCATCCATCCATCCATCCATCCATCCATCCATCCATCCATCCATCCATCCATCCATCCATCCATCTATCCGTCCATCTTTATAAATATATATCCAGCATCCATCCATCCATCCATCAATCTATCTTTATAAATATATATCTAGCATCAATCTATATGTCCATATATCCAACATTCATCTCTCCATTCATCCATCCATTCATATATATTCAGCATCCATTCATCCATCTTTATAAATATATATCCAGCATCCATCCATCCATCCATCAATCTATCTTTATAAATATATATCTAGCATCAATCTATATGTCCATATATCCAACATTCATCTCTCCATTCATCCATCCATTCATATATATTCAGCATCCATTCATCCATCTTTATAAATATATATCCAGCATCCATCCATTCATTCATTTATATTCAGCATCCATCCATATCCATCCATCCATCCCTGCATTAAAGCATAAAACTTACTTGTATAGCAATATTATATCACTCTACCAACCATCACACTTTCCCTTGCCTTTCCACAAACAACTTGGTTAGTTAATTTAATATTTTATTGCTATATCAGCGTCCAAGGCTTCATCACAAAAACAATTTGCAGTAATACAGAAGTTAAAAAAAAAATACAACTCCAAACGTTTACCACATTTTTCTAAACAAGCATCAAGGTTTTCCTAACTCCTCGTCTGTCTGCAGGAGTATGTTCTGGCCCACACCGAGATGCCCACCACTCTTGAAGGAGCCGAAGCTGCCATTAAGAAGCAGGAGGACTTTATGACCACTATGGACGCCAATGAAGACAAGATCAACGGTGTGGTGGAGGCCGGCAGGAGGCTGGCCAGTGATGGAAACATTAACGCTGACCGCATACAAGAGCGTGCAGCCTCCATTGATGACCGGTAACAAGACACCACTGTTGGGTGCCATTACTTCCCAACTATCTAGTTACTGTAATTAAATTGCTTTTCCGCTGAAGTTTTTAGGTAATTTAATTACAGTTACTTTTAATGCACTTAAATCCTGATTTAATGTCTTAATCCTGTACACAAATTCAACAGTTCTATACAAATCAATTCAGAGAAGTTGACTATATTGTCTTTGCATTGAGATTTATGTAGATTAGTATCAAGTCAAGTTATTAAATTACTAATTCAGTAACTAGGTTACTTTTAAGACAAAGTAATTAGAAAATTAATTTAAATACAGTTATATTGATGTAATTTGGGGTGTCACAGTGGCGCAGTGGGTAGCACGATCACCTCACAGCAAGAAGGTCGCTGGTTTGAGCCTCAACTGGCTTAGTAGGCATTTCTGTGTGGAGTATGTATGTCCTCACCATGTCCGTGTGGGTTCCTCCGGGTACTCCAGTTTCCCACACAAGTCCACAAGTGTGTATGGACGTTTCCCAGTGATGGGTTGCAGCTGGAGGGCATTCACTGCATAAAACATATGCTGGATAAGTTGGCGGTTCATTCTGCTGTGGCGACCCCAGAATAATAAAGGGACTAAGTTGAAAAGAAAATGAATGATGCAATTTTAATCAATAGCTTTTTTAAAGTAACTTACCCAGAACTGCAAAACACATGCAGTAAAATGTGCTGAAGTAAACAGGAATAATAGATCCTAAAAGACAGCCTTTAACCTGCAGGCATAAGAAGAACCGGGAGGCGGCCGTGGAGCTGCTCATGAGGCTGAAGGACAACAGAGACCTGCAGAAGTTCCTGCAGGACTGCCAGGAGGTGAAATGATAATTAAATATAATGCAATGTTATTTTATGTTAGTATTTTTTTTTTTATTTATTATTAGAGACGAAAAATAATATTCAATATAATGAAATATTGTTAAAAAAAATCCTAAAAAAATATATAAAATAAATAATTTTAAAAATTATAAAAAATATTAAATTTAAATGTTACAATCATCTTTTTATTTTAGTTTTTATTTATTTAGTTATTTATTTATTTTAAGTTTTCCTTTTAATTTAATTGTAATTTGATTGTAATTTAGTTTGTAACTTTATGAACCTGTATTGATTATGGCAGATAATAATATATATTCACGTTAATTAAATAACAATGTAGAATAATTAATTATGAAATGAAAAAATATCATGTTTAAATGTAACAGTCACTTTTTAAATTAAATTTTTATTTAATTATTTAAATTATTTTTTTTTATTACATTTTAATTTGAACTGTACATTTTATTCAATTTTATTTTTTAAATAAATGTTTTATTTTATAATTTATATATAATCTTTTAAGGCGACATTTAATAGATTAGACCTAAACGCTAACCATATTTCGCTTAGTCTGTCAGTCTTTGTTTTGCATTGGATGTGTTTTAATTGTGTGTGGGTGTCACATAATTGTTGGCCAAAAAAATTCTTTCAGCCTTCCTTTCAAAAGTGTTATAAGGCCAGTGTTGTGCATGCATGTGCTGAAATATAAAACCAAAGAAATGCATGTTAATTGTCTTGTTATGCATGCTCTGTATAGCTGTCGCTGTGGATCAACGAGAAGATGTTGACAGCACAGGACATGTCCTACGATGAAGCTCGAAACCTGCACAGCAAATGGCTCAAACACCAAGCGTTCATGGCTGAACTGCAGTCCAACAAAGAATGGCTGGACAAAATTGAGAAGGTTGGTTTTTAATGCATTTCATTAAATACCGCTTACATTGTGATATTTACGTATTTTGGTGCATTTGCCTCACAAAATAAATCCATCTCAATGTCTCTTTCGTATTAATACAGATTCGACCTGATATAATGAAAATTAAATAGTGAGGTGTATTGGCAGCGCATTTCAGTGCATTCAGTTTTTTTTCTTTAGGATTTATTTATGTGCAAAGTGCCGTGTGACTTGGCATTAAGTCAATAAAATATGCTTTGTAAGACTAATAATAGAGAAAATGTAAATGTTTTTGTGAGATATCAGTCTTTATGTCAGTTTTAATGCAAAAATATTTATATTAAACGGTCTTAAATGGAAAGTTTCTATTAAAACTATTTTTTTCTGAAGAAATAATAAAATAATTGTAAGCTAATAATGAATGTAAAAAATCGAAATGAAGAGCAACTTGCTAAACTCATTGGCAGAGGATTTGTCTTATTTTAAGTATAATTTTGCATCTCAGGGAATCTAAAGCTGTTTAGAAACGTTTGCTGGAAAACATGACAGAAAAGCTGAATAAAACGATATTCATCAAATGAGATGTCAGAATCTCGGCTATCAGCTTTAATAATAATGATAATAATAATGATAAGAGTCATTCATTCATTTTCTTGTCAGCTTAATTCATTTATTAATCCGGGGTCGCCACAGCGGAATGAACCGCCAACTTATCTAGCAAGTTTTTATGCAGCGGATGCCCTTCCAGCCGTAACCCATCTCTGGGAAACATTCACACACACATTCACTTACACACTACGGACAATTTAGCCTACCCAATTCACCTGTACCGCATGTCTGTGGACTGTGGGGGAAACCGAAGCACCCGGAGGAAACCCACGCGAACGCAGGGAGAACATGCAAACTCCACACAGAAACGCCAATGAGCCGAGGCTCGACCCAGCGACCTTCTTGCTGTGAGGGGACAGCACTACCTACTGCGCCACTGCCTCGCCCTAATGATAATAATATTATTAATAAATTAAATATTAAAAGTGGATGCAGTTGTACTTAATTTCATTGTTTCTCTAGTATAGAGTATAGCTCCGCCACGCTACTGAGAAATGTAGTGATTGCAGAATAGCAGCACTTCAATAAAGAGCCTTGCAGAAGGCATTGTGCGTATCAAAAACAGGCAGATTAAACTTATTCAACATATGCCAGATTTTTAAGGAAATTTTTTAGATGTAACCCAATTGGTAATCTTTAACATTTTCATAAGTAACTAATTTAATTACACATTTTCTCTCGGTAACTGTAACAAATTATTTTATAATTAAATTATGTAACGCCGTTACATGTAACTAGTTACTCCCCAACACTGCTCACTGATAACCAGGAAACCGATTTTTACTGTAGCATTTTACAGATGAAATTGCAGACATTTTCTTTTCTTAATTTTGTGTGCAGGAAGGGAAGCAGCTGGTCTCTGAGAAGCCGGAGACAGAAGCAGTGGTGAAGGAGAAGCTGGCGGCGCTGCAGAAGATGTGGACTGAACTGGAAACCACCACTCAGACTAAAGCCCAGTGTCTGTTTGATGCTAATAAAGCCGAGCTGTTCACGCAGAGCTGCGCCGACCTGGACAAGTGGCTCGTGGGTCTCGAGGGTCAGATCCAGTCTGATGATTACGGCAAAGATCTGACCAGCGTCAACATCCTGCTCAAGAAACAACAGGTTTGAGGACAGCACAGTCGCTTTGTCTTATTTTCTATTATAATTATACAAGAACTCTTATATTAAATAATAAATCAATCTGAGATGAAAAATAATAAGATTTGTCCAAAACAAAATGCGTCAAAAGGGTTTATGCTTAGGGATGCACTGATGCCGTATTTTTGGAACCGATCCGATCTCAAAACTAAAATTCTGAGTATCGGTTGATACAGATCCAATCCCGATACTGTGCCGTTTTTTTATATTGTAATTATTTTTCTAAGCGTAATACTGTTTCTATAGCTCTGGTGCTAAACTCAAATAATATATCTTCTTTAGTAAAAATAACACACCTTTAGGCCTACTATACACAGAGGACGCGTTAGACTTTGTCATTGTCCGTCATTTTGAAGGAGAGGTTTGTAAAAATTCAGTCATAACTCATTATTGACTGTCAATTAATTTGCATATTTTCTAATCGCTTTTTTCATTCTTATTTTAATAATGAACTTGCACGACGAGCATATCGGCTAATTTATTTATTTATTTGACAAATGAACAATACCTCTTATCTGCCTTACCTCATATCTTCCTCCTGTGTTGATCTGAGCTGGGTGCTTGCCTGTGCGTAATCAAACGCATCAAGAGAGACTGATGCAGAGGCAGTTGTTATTAAATTCTGTGTCTTTGCCTCGGAAAGTTGACTTCTCCTGACAGTTTTAAATTTGTTCTGGAGGCTGAAGCCACGTTCTGCTGCCTGAACTCTAACGACTGATTCGGGCCTGATATGGTTAACAGGAATCGGGCCATTGCTTTACAGCCGCATCACCATACTCGGCCTGGAAAACACTCGCCGATGTCAAGTTGGAGCTGGGGGCGCCAAAGGACAGCCGAGCTCGGGCCGATTACTACCTGCTATCTGGGTAGCGCCACTTCAGCCAGCGTTTTGTAGTTAGGAAGTATTTCTCCTAAGGAAGTGATCAGAAGTTTGCTGGATTTTCTGAATGTGGGTGTGTTTCCCGGTCTTGCAAGCACTCGTTTCACCGAGAAAAATACTGCAGCACGTGCTCTTCCAGCACCAGGGGCGCGGCCGGCTTCACCCCTCTGCGTTCGGTACAGTGTTGCCAGATTGGAAATGTCAAAGTATCGTACCAGAACTCAAAATTATCGTATTTGGAGGAAAATTATCGTACACGAGTCAAACTGAGAGTATACAGCTATTATCTAGACACATAGCGTTTTGAAACAACGTGCAAAATACGTTAAAAAAACTAGGTACCTTAGTGGGAAGGTTCAAACTCCACCTCTGAGTTGCTGTCATTGAATGTTGCATGTTGCCAGATGTTGAGGGATTTATTTTCTGGGGTGTGCATGCTTTGTTTTAATGAGACTAACTTTGTAAAAAAACATGTTCACAAGACGCATTTGAATGGGGAAAAACGAGAACATCAAGGGAAAACTCCCGTCCTTCTCACCTTCCTTTACAGCACGAATTGTTTTAACATTATTGCTTAAAAGATCGACCTCAAACTGAAAACTACTGACTTAACCGCGGGCACGCACAGCAGGAGCGTTAACTCGTGAGAGAGAGCCATTCTCCATGTTGATTGGCTGAGAAGAGGCAATGTAAGATGAGATAGAAAACGTGCCTAACTCCACCTACTCCTCACAGACAGTACAAGAAAAGATGCAGCTAGATCAATAAGTAAAGAAGCCCGAAGATTACAATGAAGTTACTTTTAAATGCCATAAAATATTGAAATTATTGTACATTATAGGATTTTTCTCATTATTGATTGTACAGAGGTCGAAATTATCGTACTAATACGATAATTATCATACGTCTGGCAACACTGGTTCGGATGCATGGTGCTCACAACGCACTCCAATCCACCTGACCTCCTTGCTGTCGCTTGGTTGGCCGGTAACAACAGCTGTCGGCAAATGAGGATTTTTGTCCACTGCATCACTTCCTCTTTTTTCACCTTTATTATTAATATCACAACTATTTGGCCGTTTAAAGAAACTTCTCGCACTCAGCTGCTGTGAGATTAATGCAACTGTACACAGCGATGACAAAGAGGAGACAAAACAAGGGCAATCGCCATCAGCTGGACAGGAGTGGGAATTACAGTCAGCTACAAACTACAATAGATCCCCCTCAGCATAATCCGTCAAAATGACGAATCACCTTCAGATTTTTCCGTCACTGCTGAAAAAATCCGTCAATGATGGAAAATATTCAGTTAACGCGACCTCTGACTATACATAACACACCACAAAACCTGACTAAACATGATGCCTGCTGTAAACTAGGCTACATTTGAGCATTGGTTACGATCTGTTGTGGTCCAGCTTATGTTTCCATCTTTAATATTAAGATTTTTCTTTAAAATCTGTAATAGGCTACCACTATTGACATTAATTATTGATAAAATAACTAGCATTTTAGCAAAGCCTGATATTTTCCTGCAGGTTTGACTGTCTGAGGCCAGGTTTTCTTAATATGCCCTCGCCTTATCTTGCTGCAAGTGAGACGCAGAAAGTTCAAAACAAAGACTGCTTACAGCTTCAGCGCCTAAACACAAGCTGTTCTGTTAAATAAGCAGGGCTTTACATTAACGGGTAAGACAGACACTCCCACTGGCCACTTTGGCTGGTTGAAAATAATTTTCCCAGGTAATAATTCTTCAAAGCAGGGTTCGACAATAAGGATGGTCCAATATGCATGCACAGGCGATCGAGAAGCAAAACGACTGACAAAAATAATTGTGTTCGCAACTTCACGCGAGCAAAGCAGGTGAATACCAAATGAGAGGATAATCACTCGCGCTAACAGCTGAGGTGATGCGCGCGACTGTTTATAACGCGTGCGCGCTCCTGTTTCCTTTTGTGAAGCTACTGTGTCTAGAAACACAACTGAAGCGATCGGTTCTCTTTCAAATAGACTGAACAAAAAGGGAGGAACATGCACATACAGTCTTACTGCTTTCAAGAGATCCAGAGTGGACTTACACACTAGGTAGAGTTGCCTCAAACCGGGCCAAAGCACGCTTGTCCCCCCTCCCGTCTCCCCCGATGGCCCACACTCACACCACAAACGGGCCTCGGCACGCTTACGTCATCACTGCTGCGCTGTTCAGTGATAAGCGCTCTCTCACTCTGCAGCACAGTAGAGATTTCTCTAATTATATCGTGTCAGTGGTTTGATATGCAGTGACATGCAGTCAAATATTTCGCCTAACAGTCCTTAGGGATGCGGGGACACGCAGTCAGATATTTCGCCGAACAGATCCGCCACTTTTGCCGCTCATAAACAATCATAAAGCCCTCGTGCTGCAGGTATAAGGAGGTCTGCTGAAGGTGCAGCTGTCGTGCAGTGAGGATTTCTCATCTTTAATAAACTATGGCAGTTTGCGTTCACTGAACAGTAAAGAATGATTATAAATCCATATGAAACAGTCCCTTAAAAGTCATGTCTCGCTTTCAGTTTTGGGCTTTGGCGCGTTTTGCACTCACACACATGCGTACCGTGCCAAAGCCCAAGTGAACCACGTTCAGGCACACCTCTTCCAACCGGGCCAGGGCCGGCCAAGTGAACCATGCTTAAGCCCGATTCAGCGCATTCGGCGGGAAACGGACCTGGGCACGGTACGGATGGCATAGTGTGAGTAGGCCCTTATTGTAAGCAGAGCCAGTTGTTTTCGGTTTAACCATTCTTTGAACAGAATATTAATGGGTCTATCATTAACTATGCGTGTGTGATCATCCTTTCATTACCACACAGTGTGTTTTTACCTGCTTTCTTTTGCATTGCATCATTTTTTACAATAACATTGCTTTAATGGGAGAAAAACTCCCCATTTATGTGTAGTTAACTGGTGATCTGGGACCTTTAGCCAGGATATATGACTGTGCATATGTTTTGTTAAATAAGTACAGTATGCAGCTATATTTTTGCTTGTTTTGACACGTTTAAAATTTGTGGCTAAGAAATAATGAACTGTTTATGTATGGTGTGGTCAGAGATAAATTGGGTAAATCCGTGGGCTTTGAAAATTATGAAAACTAATTTTAATAAATGAAACCCTGACCCATTTGCTCATGATTATCGAGCAAGCTCATACACGACACACAAAAAGTGAAATGAATGAGGAGGCGTGTAGAGATAACACAAACTCTAAACCAAATAATTTTAGCAAGTCAAAGTCATATTTATGTGTATAAAATATCTTTTGCCAACAATAAAATTGTGGCTAGTGAAAATGGCGAGTGGCTAGTAATGTTGGAAAACTACTAGCCACAGTGGCTAATGGTCAAATAAGTTAATGTTGAGCGCTGTAAATAAGATATTGATATTACTAAAATTACAGTGAAATATCCACAGTTTCACAGTAGCCTGTGTTAGGCTAGATAATTTTATGTTAATGACAATCTATAGCCTATTGCACATGACAGTTTCAATTTTATTAATTTTATTAATTAACTTTACACATAAGAAAGCAGATTCGCTCGCGCTTTAGACAGTTGTAAACAACTAGGAGGCAGAGTAGATTCTGCTCCTCTTCTTGGCTTTGTGTCTTTTCATCAAGATGACGACATGGTTTAGTTGAGCTCGGCTTGACCGTGGCTTGTTATTATATGTATATATTATTACTCTGTAATGTCTCGGCTGTGTATTTAATAATGTCTCTTTCTTTGTTTGCATTTTTACATTTTTACAATGTATTTATATGGTGAAGGATGAGTTTAACTCTTGCCCTGTGTTTCGCTTTCCTCCAGATGTTGGAGAATCAGGTGGAGGTGCGTCAGAGGGAGGTGGAGGAGCTGCAGTCTCAGGCTCATGTGCTCCGGCAGGAGGGAAAAGACACGGATGAAGTCGACGGACGCAGGAAAGTGGTGGAGCAGAAGTTCCAGGAGCTGCTGGACCCACTGTTGAAGAGGAAAAACTTCCTCATGGCCTCACGTGAGATCCACCAGTTTAACCGCGACGTGGAGGACGAGATTGTGAGTTCCGCTTTGAAATACCTGTTTATGTGTATTATTATAGTTTAGCATTTTTAAATGAGTTTTTATTTCAGTAATATTTTTAATTTGTTGTTCATTGGAGTTTAGTTTTAGTTTGTTTTATTAATGGTTTTGTTAGTTGTAGTTTCGTTTATTTTCTCAACAAAAGCTCAATTGTTATCTGTAAAAGTGCATCTACAGGCACTTCTATTTCAGTTAAAGAAAATGTCTTTTGACCAATAGTTTTGGTCTTAGTTTTTGTTTACTAAAGTAATCTTGGTCTCCAGCACAATTTTAACTGTAGTTTCTCTGCAGCTCTGGGTTGAAGAGAGGATGCCTCTTGCTACGTCAACAGATCATGGCAACAATTTACAGACTGTTCAGCTATTAATCAAGAAAAACCAGGTAATGCATTTTGGGCCTCCTCTTAACCTCTTCCCCCCATTCATATAACGATGCGGTTCAGGATCTTTTTTTCTTTTAGTAACTTAATAACTTACTCGATATATTCTCCATCACTCTGAAAATAGAGTTGCTAAACACCTGATATATGCACAATATAGTGGGTAAGGAGTGGTTTTAAAAAATCCTCATTAGCATATTTAAATTTCAGCTCCTTATCACTTGTAAACACATACAATAACCATAACAATGGTGATTCATATAATGGTTCAGTTCAGCATGATTCTTTTGATTCAGGACTCAGTAACTCAACTTAATATGTTCTTCATCACTCTGAAAGTGAAGTTGGCTAACACCTAATATAGTGTACTATATAGTGAGTAGGAAGTGGTTTTGAACAGCTTATGATTGGTCGAGAAAAAATCTCCATTAACATATTTAGTTCAGCTCCTCGTCACTTACGCCCCATTCACACGGGGCTTGAGCGTCAATGCTTGACAGAAGGAGTGTCTGAAGTTGGGGCTGACGCGATCGTTAAAGCAGCGTCAGCCAATGAAATTAGTCAGCAATTGGCTACTGTCTGAGCTGGTGTATTTGCATACAGCGATCTCTGATTGGCTGACGCTTCCGTTGCCGCTCAAAAAGTTGAAAATGTCCCTACTTCTGGAGCAAGCAACGCCACTGAAGGGGCGCGGACGGATCCACAATGCGTCAAAGTGAATGGGAAGCATTGAAGCTGACACCCTGTGTGAATGGGGCGTTATAAACACAGCAATAAAAACAGTAACAATGGCGATTCACTCTGAAAATGAAGTTTCTAAACACCTGATATAGTGCACTATATAGTGAATTGAATTGAATTTTATTTGACAGATTTTAGACAAACTGTACAAAAAGTATTCCATACACTTTGTTAAAAAAAACTGTCGAGGATAAAAACACAATAAAGCCCTCGGCTTATTTCCATTGTGGTCCTCTGTTAAATAAAAACAATGTATGGCTTCAAAATACTAATGAAGAAATAAAACAAACAGTCGCCACAGCGGTACGAACAGTCAACCCATCCAGCACATGTTCCACACAGCCAATGGCCTTCCAGCCGCAAACCTATTCACACTCAAGTAACATATAATTTAAAAGATCCTCGTCCACCATGCAAACTAATTATCCTCATCAAACAACCATCTTTTGATAGCTTTTTTGAACAACCTTAAATCTTTTATTTCCTTGATTGATTTTGGTAGTTTGTTCCACATGATTGCACTTGTATATAAAAACATTTTTCCCTACTAAACCTCTAAATTTAAATAAACAAATATTAAAATCCCAACTCCTAGTACTGTATGAATGCTGTTGCTTCACCATTTGAAAATAATTCATCAAATAGCTAGGAACCACATTATTAAACATTTTACGTACCATTCCCAGTTTTAAAAAACACACTATTACTAACAGGTAACATACCTAATTTATTAAAAGACTCTTTGTGCAAATGTGCTCTAGGATGCATTTGTAAAATTATTCGTACTAATTTATTCTGTGCCTTTTGCAATTTCTCCTTCAAATTTTGTGAGCAGCTACTGTACCAAAATGACGTAGCATAATCAAAATGGGGTTGAATTAAAGCTCCTGCCAACAATTGTAAAGAATGAACATCCGAAAGATCAGATTGCCTTGCTAAAAACCTAATTTTTCCACAAATCTTCGTAAAAACTTTTTTTGCCATAGCATCTCCTGATAATTTATTATCTATTAAACAACCCAAATAGTTTATTACATTTTTTAACTGAATTTTCCAATCATTAATCTTAACTACAAAATTATCATCTTTTTTTTTTATTTCACTCTTGAAGCAAATAAAATAGCCTCTGTTTTACCCATGTGTAAAGAAAGTTTGTTGTCTAAAAACCAGTTGTAAACACTTTTTAACTGTGAACTCATAATCTCTTCCAGGGCCCTTTTGTCATGATGAGATCCTAAAATTGCGGCATCATCAGCATAAAGATAGAGCTCCTATAGGGATAGGGAATTGGGTAGGGATTGGTTTTAAACACAGCTTATGGTTGGTCGAGTAATAATATCCATTAACATATTTAAATTTCAGCTCCTCATCACTGATAAACACAGGGCTGACAGTAACAATAGTGATTCATGTAACGATTCAGTTCAGTTCAGTTTTTTTGATTCAGGAGTCAGTAACTCAATAACTCTGAAAGTGAAGTTGGCAAACACCTGATATAGTGCACTATATAGTGGGTAAGGAGTGGTTTTGAACACAGCTTATGGTTGGTCGAGAAATAAAATCCATTAACATATTTAAATTTCAGCTCCTCAACACTTAAAAACACGATGATACATACAGTACCAATGGCGATTCACTCTGAAAATGAAGATGCTAAACACGTGATATAGTGCACTATAAAGTGGCTAAGGAGTGTTTTGGAACACAGCTCATGATTTGTCGAAACAACTCCCCATTAACATATTTAAATTTCAGCTCCTCATCACTGATCAACACAGGGCTGACAGTAACAATAGTGATTCATGTAACGATTCAGTTCGGGATGATTTTTTTGATTCAGGAGTCAGTAACTCAATAACTCTGAAAGTGAAGTTGGCAAACACCTGATATAGTGCACTATATAGTGGGTAAGGAGTGGTTTTGAACACAGCTTATGGTTGGTCGAGAAATAAAATCCATTAACATATTTAAATTTCAGCTCCTCAACACTTAAAAACACGATGATACATACAGTACCAATGGCGATTCACTCTGAAAATGAAGATGCTAAACACGTGATATAGTGCACTATAAAGTGGCTAAGGAGTGTTTTGGAACACAGCTCATGATTTGTCGAAACAACTCCCCATTAACATATTTAAATTTCAGCTCCTCATCACTGATCAACACAGGGCTGACAGTAACAATAGTGATTCATGTAACAATTCAGTTCGGGATGATTTTTTTGATTCAGGAGTCAGTAACTCAATAACTCTGAAAGTGAAGTTGGCAAACACCTGATATAGTGCACTATATAGTGGGTAAGGAGTGGTTTTGAACACAGCTTATGATTGGTGGAAAAAAATCCCCATTAGCATATTTAAATTTCAGCTCCTCAGCACCTCATGTAACGATTCAGTTCAGGATGATTCGATTCGGGAGTCAGTAACTCAAGGGTTTCTCCATCCACAGACACTACAGAAGGAGATCCAGGGCCATCAGCCGCGCTGCGATGATATATTCGAGCGCAGCCAGAGCATCCTGAAGGCCGACAGCCCCAATGTGGAGGGGATCCGGACCCGTCTGTCAGACCTGCAGGGGCTCTGGAGCCTCATCATGCAGGAGACAGAGAAACGCCACAGCAGACTGGAGGAAGCCCATAAAGCACAGCAGTATTACTTCGATGCCGCTGAAGCCGAAGCCTGGATGAGCGAACAGGAGCTCTACATGATGTCTGAAGAGAAGGCCAAGGTGTGTGTTTTCAGGAACGGAATATAGGGATGCAGGATATATTGGTGGCTATATTGATATCGTATGCTGCTTTTCTGAAAGTTTTTCCGCCTGTTTGTTTTTAGGATGAGCAGAGTTCAGTGGCCATGCTGAAGAAACACCAGATCTTGGAGCAGGCGGTGGAGGATTACGCTGAAACTGTGCACCAACTGTCCAAGACCAGCCGAGGCCTGGTGGCCGCAAACCACCCTGAAAGGTGCACAACACCAACACTCACCATTCACCAGCCAAAGATTTTAATTAGACTTAAGTGCAAACTGGAATATTGCATAAAACATTTGTGAATAAAGCAGCGTTTCCATCCAGTGAGGGACAGAAAACTAAATCATCACTTGCTGATAAACTGGAGCAAGTATCAGCCAGAGAAATGTAGTTTGGTGCATTGGGTGTTTTTTTCTTCTCATATAAATGAGTTGTGACTCAAAAGATTAGAATGAAATGCAATGAACACAATGTGATGGCTTTTGGAGGAATGAGACGCTCTTTGAGAGTGCAGACTGATGCTCAATGTAATGTAATGTGTATTTATATAGCGCATTTATTGTGTATGGCCATACACCCAAAGCGCTTCACAATCATGAGGGGGGTCTCTCCACACCACCACCAGTGTGCAGCATCCACTTGGATGATGCGACGGCTGCCACAGGACAACGGCGCCAGTGCTCTCAACACACATCAGCTATTGGTGGAGTGAAGTGACAGTGATAGAGCCAATTTAATGGATGGCGATGATTGGGAGGCCATGATCGTAAGAGCCGATAGAGGGACTTTGGCCAGGACACCGGGGTTACACCCCTGCTCTTTACGAGAATAGCCATGGGATTTTTAATGAGCACAGAGAGTCAGGACCTCAGTTTAACGTCTCATCCAAAAGATGGCGCCCACTGACAGTGTAGTGTCCCCTTCACTTTTACTGGGGCATTAGGACTCACACAGACCACAGGTTGAGCGCCCCCTGCTGGCCTCACTATACACCACTTACAACAGCAACCTAGTGTTCCCTAGTGGTCTCCCATCCAGGTACTGACCAGGCTCAGCCCTGCTTAGCTTCAGTGAGTAACCGGTCTTCGCCTGCAGGGTGATATGGCTGTGGTTCTGGAGGGAATAATAATAAAAGAATACGAATACTGAAGCAATCAGCAAAACAGTTCAGATCTTTTACAATCTGCTGGAAAGGCTGGTTTGTCCATTAATGCATACCCTTGTGCACAATTTTATCATCACATGATCTGATAAAACTAAATCACAGGATTTTTTTGATTCATTTTAGTAAATATGTTTACATCGTAGTTAGTTTTTTCTTATGAAAAATGTATCATTTTAACCTTAATGATAAAGCAGGTATCTTACTCAGTTGTGCTCATTTTTATGCACATTTTCAAAATGTGTCCGCATCTTTGCATTTCCAACAAGCAATTTATTCATCCTATATTCCAAAATGCACATATAAATAGGTAGATGGAAACATAGCTACTATTAAACATGATCTGAATCTAAAGTGATATCTGGATCTCATTTTACCTCTGAATATAACAATATATTCATCATCCAGAGCTCTTTTGTCTGATTGCATCTCTGTCTTATGCAGATAACACCAAACTTGTTCCTGGAGGGCCGGTGTGCTGCAGATGTTCGCTCCAACCCTAATCAAACACACCTGAACAAGCTAATCAAGCTCTTGCTAGGTACACTTTAAACACCCAGGCAGGTGTGTTGAGGCAAGTTGGAGGTAAACCCTGCAGGGACACTGGCCCTCCAGGACCGAGATTGGTGACCCCTGGTCTAATGTGTTAGAAGTGTTGTCACTTTATGTACACTGGAAGCTTCTGTAGCCAAAACAAATTCCTTGTGTGTGTGTGTGTGTGTGTGTGTGTGTGTGTGTGTGTGTGTGTGTGTGTGTGTGTGTGTGTGTGTGTGTGTGTGTGTGTGTGTGTGTGTGTGTGTGTGTGTGTGTGTGTGTGTGTGTGTGTGTGTGTGTGTGTGTGTGTGTGTGTGTGTGTGTGTGTGTGTGTGTGTGTGTGTAAAGCACACTGGGCAATAAAACCGATTCTGATATATAAAATTTTAAAAAGTCAGTTATTTCATGTACTCTTGAGCACTCCCTGGTGGCCACAGAGGTCCTAAGCAGCTGCTTAGTTCAGTTGAGCCTTAATGATTCATTAAATGGCAGTCAATTGTCACCCAACTTAAAGATTAAAAATAAACACATACAAACAAGTCCAAATCAATCTCCATGTCTCCTGATGATACACTGAGCTCTTATGAAGCGAAACAATCAGTTTGTGCAAAAAAAAAAAAGAATAATGATAAAGTACATCCAAGAGGTGATGATCACAGAATAGAGCCAGACAGGTTTATCAACATATAAACCAAGCCTAGCACAGCTGTGTAAAACAGAAGGGGTTATTGTGCTAAAGGCAACTGTACTTAATGTGAGTACGCCCTTAAACATTTAATTAAATGCAAAGCTACAAGAAGCAAAAACAGCGGATGGAGTATACACTAACCTGCGCAGTATTCAGACACAAGATGGCGCCAAACAGACAAAAACACAAAGCTGACAGAAACGAAAACAGCTGAACGGAGCATATACTTTCCTTCATATTATTCATTCACAAGATGGCACCAAATAGTCAAAAACCTCAGTGTGACACAAGCAGATACATATGAATGTGGATGTTAGAATATGCATGTGAACATATTCACTGACGGTCAAGGTGATTAGAAATTCCCGAAAGAACCTGTGTTGTTTAGCGGTTGTTATCTGACAAATATCAAACCTTGGATTGTTGCGACTGACCAATCCAAATCAAGTATTCCAAGCGGCCGTGTAATAATATCTTATTTAAAAAAAACTTTCGTGATTTTCAGTAACTTTGACTCTGTGTGTGTTGTAGTGAGAGGATTGGCATGCGTCAGTCACAGGTGGATAAACTGTACGCTGGACTGAAGGATCTGTCGGAGGAGAGGAGAGGGAAACTGGAGGAGCGCTTCCGTCTGTTCCAGCTGAACCGTGAGGTGGACGATCTGGAGCAGTGGATCGCGGAGCGGGAGGTGGTGGCTGGATCTCACGAACTCGGACAGGACTATGAACACGTCACTGTGAGTACAGCAAAAATACTGCTTTGTTCTTACAGTAGCTTGGTGTTTTCATTTCTATGGAAGACTGCACTCAACGAAAACTAAAAACAGAGAAACCTTAAACCTAAATGTAGTTACTCAAAGCATAAATGCTTCTCTTCCACAGATGTTGCAGGAGCGTTTCCGTGAGTTTGCTCGCGACACTGGAAACATCGGTCAGGAGCGTGTGGATGGAGTGAACCGCATGGCGGACGAACTGATCAACGCTGGTCATGCAGACGCCGCAACCGTAGCCGAGTGGAAGGACGGTCTGAACGAGGCCTGGGCGGATCTGCTGGAGCTCATCGACACACGCACACAGATCCTCGCCGCGTCCTACGAGCTGCACAAATTCTACCACGACGCCAAGGAGATTCTGGGACGCATCCTGGACAAACACAAGAAGCTTCCGGAGGAGCTGGGCCGGGACCAGAACACAGTGGAGACGCTGCAGAGGATGCACACTACATTTGAGCACGACATTCAGGCTCTGGGGACGCAGGTGTGTCCACATTATGAGTTTAATAGTGAGCTAAATGAAGGTTTCCTTGTTGTCTAAATCAGGGGTGCCCTGGAGGACCGGTGTCCTGCATATTTTACTTCCAACCACAATTAAACACATCTAAACCAGCTAATCAAGCTCTTTTTAGGTATACAAAAACTTCCAGGCAGATGTGTTCAAGGAATTTGGAGCTAAACTATGCAGGACACCGGCGCTCCAGGACCTAGTTTGGACACCCCTGGTCTAAAGGCACTGCCCGAGACTTGTAACTTAACGAATGCAACATTAACTGAATCCCGTGATGATCTGCTCAGGTGCGTCAGCTGCAGGATGATGCGGTGCGTCTGCAGTCGGCGTATGCGGGCGATAAAGCGGACGACATCCAGCGGCGTGAGGGCGAGGTGCTGGAGGCCTGGAGGAGTCTGCTAGAGGCCTGCGAGGGCCGGCGAGCTCGCCTGCTGGACACCGGAGACAAGTTCCGCTTCTTCAGCATGGTGAGAGACCTGATGCTGTGGATGGAGGACGTCATCCGCCTCATCGAGACGCAGGAGAAGCCCAGGTGACTATAGAGCTATAGACTATAGACCCCGCCTCACACTGTGTGATTTCTGTATGAACAGAGTAGGAGTTTGGTTTGCATTGCCGGCAATAAGTCAGACTCGTTTCCAGTACATGATGGGCTCCAGCAAGGCTGCCCTTTGTCACCAATTCTGTTCATAATTTATATATATATATATATATAACAGTTCTGTCTGGTTCTTGAATCTGGTTGGCTGATAGCCGTGATATATTTAAGTAATATCAGCACCCGTACAGCCTCTTTACCCTTTGTGTATTACTCCGCCCACATACAGCCAGCAAAAAGCAGACACTACAGATCTAAAGCTTAAAAGATGCTCGCTCAGCTGTTTAACTGTCAGCTTATGATTTGAATCCAACGCGGAAGAAAGTAGTTCCTCATACAAAAGGGTTTTTGAGACTCTCCATGTTTGATTTTGTTTTTATATACACAATAATGCCGTCAAACTGTTTTATAAACGCAATATCACATGAGTAGCAGTGCGATATGGCTGTATATCGGCACTGGTGGGGGCACTAACTAACGCATGCCTCCCCCCAGTGCCGATATACAGCCATATCACACTGCTACTCGTGTGATATTGCTCATATATATATATATATATATATATATATATATATAGCGGAGAAATTAAAATGGCCGTGCTGAACTAAGTCTGGTTTCTCTCAAGGTTTTATTTTCTTCACTCTCCTATTGGTGAAGTTTTTTTTTCCCTCTCCGCTGTCGCCACTGGTTGCATGGATCAGGATCTGTAGAGCTACACATCGATGGATTTGCTCTTCAGTGTTTGGACTCTTATTAATGACCTTAAACCACACTGAACTGAGCTAAACTGAACTGAACTTAAACACTAAAAACTGAACTACCCTGATCCAGTTACATGACCATTTATGTGAAGCTGCTTTGACACAATCTACATTGTAAAAGCGCTATACAAATAAAGCTGAATTGATTTGGTTATATATATATATATATATATATATATACTTAGTTAGTTTTTTACAGTTAGTATAAAAACAAAAGAAATGAAATGTCATGTGTCCTCTGTTCTTTAGGGACGTGTCGTCTGTGGAGCTTCTCATGAACAACCACCAGGGCATCAAGGCTGAAATCGACGCCCGTAATGACAGTTTCACAGCCTGCATTGAGCTGGGCAAATCTCTGCTGGCACGCAAACACTATGCATCAGAGGAGGTAAGCGAGAAATTGACGTCTGCTCAGTAGCTTCAGAAGAAATGGGTTTATTATGGCCTAGGAAGCATTGAGGAACTTCCTTTATTTATCTTGCTCTGTTTTCCTCCCCTTCAGATAAAAGAGAAGTTGCTGCAGTTGACGGACAAGAGGAAAGATATGATTGACAAATGGGAGGACAGATGGGAGTGGCTGAGACTGAGTGAGTAGGACTCAAATAAAAAATAATATTATAATATATAAAATAATATATAATTCAATTCAATTCAACTGTTTATTGTCATGTGCACAGTTAGGAAACACGTTTCCCTGTACAATGAGATTCTTACTTTGCCGTCCACAGTAAAGTCATACACACAACATACACATCATACACAACATACACATGTATACACAGAAGTGACTGAAGTAGGATTATAAAATGTAAGAATATAAATATCAATGAAAGTAAACAATATATTAAACTGATTTAGATAATGAAACGGATGTAAACAATGTACAGTGGTTCTTAAATTGTGCTTATTATGCAAAAAGTGCCTAGTGCAATTGGCTTATGTGCAAAAAATTGTGCAAACTGGGATGGAGAATGTAGTGTTGTACTGAGCAGAAAAAGAGACTGTTTTATATAATAACTAATAATTGTTTTGTTTTTTTGGATTATTGCGGTGTGTTACTGGGATTTTATGCATGCTTGTAGATCTCAGCATTTTTATTTGTTGTTGTATATCTTGTATCGCTTTGAGTTTAAGAAAAGCAAATTATAAATCAAATGTATTCTTATAATTATAAAAAAAATAATTATAAAAATATATATATATATATATATATATAATGAACCATTAGATAGTTTAGACAGCTGTTTAAAGATTACTATACAACCCATGTTAATTCATAAAATGCGTTATATTTAATGCATAATAATACGATTTATTATATTTATTTATTATTAATAATTTATATATTATTAAGAATATTATTAACAATAATTTATTTATATATATATATATATATATATATTACTAATATATATATTACTTATAATAGTAGTATTTTTTTAATAACAAATACATGTATTTAAATTATTTTTAGTATTAGTGCTGGGCAAAGATTAATTGCAATTAATTGTATGTGAAATACAGTGATCAAAATTGTTTTGACACAATATATGTGTGTACTGTGTGTATTTATTATGTATATTAATACAAACATGCACAAATTTATTTGAGAAAATGTTTATTTATATTTGGATATGAAAATTGTGTATGATATAAGTTATATAAACCTTTTAATATCTAAATCACAAATATCTTATATAGTTTTGTGGTTATTGTATTTTGATGGTCCAAATGTTGAATTGAAGCTACATTGCATCTACATGCTAACTAATTCTCATTAGATTATAAGTAGACTGTTGGGGTTGGTGTTAGTGTAAGTTGACATGTATATGCAAAGTTTCTTATAGTCAGTATAATGTCTGTTCAGCAGCAGTTTCAGCAGATATTAAGCAGACAGTCTACTAATACTCAAACGGATCATCAAAATAAAGTGTTACCAGTTTTGTTACTATGTATACAGTTAAAATCAGAATTATTAAACCCCCTTTGAATCTGTTTTTCTTTTTTAAATATTTCCCATATTATGTTTAACAGAGCAAGGAAATTTTCACAGCATGTCCGATAATATTTTTTTCTTTGGAAAAATACTTATTTGTATTATTTAGGCTTGAATAAAAGCAGTTTTAAAATTTTTAAAAGCCATTTTAAGGACAAAATTATTAGCCCTTTTTAGCTATTTTTTTCCAGAGTCTACAGAACAAACCATCATTATACAATAACTTGCCTAATTAAAGTGTGTTTAATTAAAGCGCTAATAATTGTGACTTCAACTGTATGTGTGCATCATAATGAATAAATATAATAAATATATATAGTATTCAGTGTATTAAAATAAAATGAGTAAAATAATAATAATGACTGCACGGTGGCGTAGTGGGTAGCACAATCGCCTCACAGCAAGAAGGTCGCTGGTTTGAGCCCCGGCTGGGTCAGTTTGCATTTCTGTATGGAGTTTCCATGTTCTCCCCGTATGGGCGTGGGTTTCCTCCGGGTGCTCTGGTTTCCCCCACAGTGCGGTACAGGTGAATTGGGTAGGCTAAATTGTCCGTAGTGTATGTGTGTGAATGAGTGTGTATGGATGTTTCCCAGTGATGGGTTGCAGCTGGAAGGACATCCGCTGCGTAAAACATATGCTAGATAAGTTGGTGGTTCATTCCGCTGTGGCGACCTCTGATTAATCAGGGACTAAGCTGAAGTAAAATGAAATGAATACTGTATATTCCAGCCAATGAGAAATACTCAAAACAAATACTTTCAGCAGGAGCAGAGAAGCCTTCATTAGTGAAGGTCTTCAGGCTGATCTCCAACAAGAGCTCAGTGGATGGAAACTCGAAAGGAGATTTCCCCTTAGTAGATTTTGAATGACTCTCTCACACTCTGTTTGAGGTCTGACGACTCCACCCATGATGCACCTGTTCTCCAGACTTATTTCTGACCCTGTAATGGGAAGTGTGTAGGAGGAAGTGGGCAGAGTGTGCTTGAATATTTATTGTCACTCAACTCACTTCTCCTTTTCTCTTGTGTGTGTGTGTGTGTGTGTGTGTGTGTGTGTGTGTGTGTGTGTGTATGTCTCTTTCTCTTTTTCTTTGTGATTGTGTTCCTCTATTTGTCTCTCTCTTTCTGTGTGTGTGTGTGTGTGTGTGTGTCTCTCTCTGTAGTTCTGGAAGTGCATCAGTTTTCCCGGGACGCGGGCGTGGCGGAAGCGTGGCTGCTGGGTCAGGAGCCGTATCTGTCCAGCAGAGAGTTGGGTCAGAGTGTGGACGAGGTGGAGAAGCTGATCAAGCGGCACGAGGCTTTCGAGAAATCAGCCGCGACCTGGGAGGAGCGATTCTCAGCGCTCGAGAGACTGACTACGGTATGAGAAACCCTGAACTCTGTCTGAGTATGAGAGAGAGAGTGTGTGGGTGAGTGAAAGACACAGAGTGCGTTTGCGCGCGTGTGAGGTTTTGGTATTTGTCCCACAGCAACATGTTTTGGTCATCATTAGGAAAGGGGCTCATACATGTGCTGTGCTGTTAGGGTTGGGGAAGGGGAGAAATATACAGTCTGAAGATATATTTCTATACAGTAGAAACATCATCACAGCTCTGGGAAGAGCCCATAAAACATGAAAACCCAATCTGTGTGTTGATTTTGTCTGTGTGTTCTGTTAGTTGGAGTTATTGGAAGTGAGAAGACTGCAAGAAGAGGAAGAGAGGAGGAGGAAACCACCGTCACCAGATCCTGTTCAGGCACAGGACGGAGAAACACAGCAGAGGTAAAGACACACACACACACACACACACACACACACCACTCATGCTCTTCTATCAGCTAATTAGGGTGAGTTACACGATGCTCAGATTTAGTTGAATGTATTTCATGTAATGTACAGAATTATATCTATTATCAATGCATTATTGAATTAATTTATAAATTTACTACTGTATGTCAAGATTGATACAAGAGTAATGTCAATGTATTATGTTTTAATAATAATGCTGTTTTTTTAAAATATATTGCCTATTTTAGTATAAATTATTATACAACTTAAAATAAAATTTAATATGTAATATACTGACAGCTGTATATTAGAGCTAAATAAATCAAATGCATTTAATATATTGTATTGATATACTATCATGCTACTAACATGCTATTTGTATTATTATTGGTGAAAAATAATTAACATATTATTTTAATTATGTATTTATTGAAATAATTTTTATGTAGAATAATATGAAAAGTAAAATAGTATAATTTATTCATATGAATTGTAAAATGTTTTTATATTAAAAGCTACATTTTTTGCAAATTGAGCAAATCATTCATATTATAATTCAATATAAACATTTGTTGCATGTTAATTTATATATTAAATTCATAATTTAGTTACAGCAAATTAATTAATATATTAATGTAATTAATAAAAAAATATATAGATGTATAATAAATGTATAATTAGCAAAAATATTTTCAATAAAATACATATTGTATTAAAATTTTACAGTTTATAAATATATTAAGATTATTTTTAGATTTATATTTATATTTTATTAAAAATGAACTCACAGAACATATTATGATTTAATGTTATATGTTAATTCATATTTTAAATTTATCTTTGGATTGAAAAAAGTTCATTAAATTCATACAGGCTGTTTATTAATTTATATGTGTATATATATATATATATATATATATATGTATATATATATATATATATATATATATATATATATATATATATATATATATATAGTTCATAAAGTATTTGTAATAAAATATATGTTAAAATTCTCATTTTTATTTAATACATTAAGATTATTTTTAGATTGGTATTTATAATGCTCTTTTAATCATGTTTTTAATCATATACAAATATCTGTCTCTGTAATTTTACTAAAGAACTAACATGTACAAAAGAATTGTTATGATTTAACGTGTCTAGGGAGAAAAAAACGTAACATTTAGAAAATGATATTATGATTGTGGAAAATGGATGTAAATAAACAAGGACAAAGAATCTTAACGTTTAATTTGTTTATTCCTCTTAAGGGAATATGACAAAGCCAGCAAAAAAGGCATGTATGAGCTTTATGCAGTGCAATTGAAAATAAATAGAGACAATCACAGAAATAAAACCAAACCAAAATTTACGGGGGGATAAATAAACTAGAGTGCCGCCAAAACAAAGAACTAAACAAAACCAACAGCCACATATACTAGATCCCCTCTAAACTTACTCTAGAACATAAAATGTGTAAAAAAAAAAATAAAAAAAACCCCGAAATCATCAGCGTTTTCAACGCCACTAAATATGCTTCCTAAATAATAAACAAAAATACAAAAAAGTGACCTGTTAACCTATGCCTTTTTCCTAAAAAAGGAATGATTAAACCATATAGACACTACAGATATTTGTATTAGTTAAGAGACAACCAATAGAAACTATCGATATATCGATACTCAAGCATCGATGTGCAAATCCCTAAGTGTCAATAATTCAAACAACTCCCAAGGACAATGTCAATCAAAGTGTTTCTCCAGTTGTTATGATGTGTGATTCTAAAAAAAAACATTCATTAATTTTTAACGTCTGCATGTGTTTGTATTAACAGAGAAGGAGAGCAGATTGCCCAGAACGGACTCCCGTCAGACCAGGACTCTCCACGGGTTAGTTACCGCTCCTGTACCTACCCACAATACACTGCTAGTCAACAAACACCACGAACCACCGATCAGGGACACTAGCGCTTCCCATGATGCTCTCTGATGATCCAAATCAGTGACAAACACCTTCTTTTCAGCGTAATAACTCTTGAAAATGGACTTTATGAAGATTAAAATCAGTGTGTTTTGTGGACATGAGGTGCCTTAAAACAAATACAAACAGATGAAAGGTAAAAGTTTGACATTTAGGAGAAATATGAGCTCATACAGTTGAAGTCAGAATTATTCAACCCGGGCTCATTGTGGAAATGTAGCCCCGCGGACGTTTCTGCAGACCGCAAAATACGTCCTGGGAGGTACGTATTCGAGCAGTTTTTGTTTTCGCGGATCCGCGAGAGGCCGCTGTGTGCGCTTTTTCACATCTCGAACGCTTCTCGGGAGCGCGCGGCATTCGCGCCCGCGCTGTTCTTGCGTGAAAAGCCGCTGGAGGCTGCTGTGGAGCGACCGTCCGTCCCACTGACTGGCTGAACGACTGAACGATCGACCGGGTGGCTGGCCAATCGGCCTCCTCTTCCTCTTCCTCCTCCTCCTTCTCTAAACCCAAGCGATGGTTTGCAAAAGCCGTCCAGAAAAAAAAAAAAAAGCAAAAGCCCTCGTCTCTGATTTTGACCGTGTTTTCAGATCTCGCCGCGTTCCCGCCCTTATTTTTTGGATTCTGTTTTTCGTCTTACCTGATTTCTGGAACCGATCTTCCTCGGACTCGATCCCGGTCGTCCCCGTGGCCGGCTCCTCCTCCTCCGGGCCTCCACTCCGCCGATGTAATGCTGCGAGCTAAGCGGACAAACTGGTTACAGCGGGAAAGCCCTCCACACGGAGGCGAGCCGTCAGCCAGCGTTCGCTGGAAAAAAACGAAACGCGGCCATACTCGCCTCCGGCCACGTAAATCGAGGTCTCCAGAAAGGTCCGCGGGGCTACGTTTCCAGAATGAGCTTGGGTTGGAAATTATTAGCCCTCCTGTGATTTTCGCCCTTTATTTTGATGGTCTGTTTGTTGAATTTAAGTTACATTGCAACTAATTCTCATTAGATTGTAAGTAGACTGTCAGGTTAGTGTTAGTGCAAGTTGACATGTACCTGCAAAGTTTCTTATAGTCAGTATAATGTCTGTTCAGCAGACAGTCTACTAATACCAAAACGGACCATCAAAATGAAGTGGTACTGGAATTTCTTTGTCAAATATTTCCCAAATGATGTTGAACAGATTCAGGAATTTTTCACAGTATTTCCTATATATTTTTTTTTCTGGAGAAAGCCTTATTTGTTTTATTTCGGCTTGAATAAAAGCATTATTAAATTTTACATAATTGTAAGGTCAATATTATAAACCCCTTAAGCCAGGGGTGTCCACACTCAGTCCTGGAGGGCCGGTCTCCTGGAGAGTTTAGCTCCAACCCTAATCAAACACACCTGAACCAGCTAACCAAGCTCTTACTACATACAAGAAACTTCGGGGCAGGTGTGTTGAAGCAAGAATTGTCTACAGAACAAACCACTGTCATACAATGACTTGCCTAATTAACCTAATTAAGCCTTTTAGGCTGCATTTACACTGAACTGTTCAACAATTCCGTTTTTTGTTCTCTCATATGGCACAGATCGGATATGGTCCATGTACGTGTAAGCACAAAAAAAATCTCTTGGATTTCAATTTACTTAAATCAGATTCAGGCCTTGTTCATATGTGGAAATTTATCCGATTTTGCGGCTGTAGCTCCCTGTCATCGTAACCGAGTGATTGACAGCTGATGTTAACCAATCCGTTCGCATTCAGTGCTAGAGCAGTGGACCAATCAGAGGAGCGTGAAGGCAGGGCAAGCACTGCGCTCTTTGTTTAGTGCAGCAAGTTGACGTGACATCATTGCATGTGCAACCAAAACGGTTGCAATTTCGAGCCCTGACATGTTATCAAGAGAGAGAGAGAGCAACATCCGCAATTGTAACCAATATAAAATTGCTTACATCACCTGTATAAATCACACCATGGACATTAGATTAAGATGCCTACTGGTTTAAAAAGACCTTGATTAAAAGACGACGGCCAAATGAGAACTTTTCTGTCATGAACTGTAGCAAAACAACAACTTTGTCGTGTGCTATGTAAACGCAGACAGTCAGATAGGAGTCACTTTTAAAAGATGATGTAAACAGTTCATCAAAAAAATCTGATACAGTCACAAAATTGAAGTTGACCATTAAGATCTGCAGTGTAAACGCAGCCTAAATGTCACTTTAAGCTGAATACTAGTATCTTGAAGAATATCTAGTCAAATATTACATGCTGTCATCATGACAAAGATAAAAGAAATCAGTTATTAAAAATGAGTTATTAAAACTATAATGTTTAGCAATGTGTTGAACATCTCTCCATTAAACAGAAATTGGGGAAAATATATACACAGGGGGCTAATAATTCTGACTTTAACTGTATAGTGTTGTCATTTTAACTTGTGCATCTAAAATGAGTGCAATTTGAAATGTTTATGATCCTAAATGAACATTTTGAAGGTGGTGTTAGATGAACTTCTGGTTAAGCATTAGAAAAACAAGAGCTTAGATAAAAGATACAGCTTTATAGACCGTTATAGGCTTACATTATTACTGTAAACACTGCTATTTACTGTAAAAGCGAAGTGTTTCCTACTTATTTTCACTTTTAATGGACGTGAGAGGTTTGCTGAACTGAAAGCATTGCGTAAGAGGATAGTAGTTTTCATATTGGTGCAAATGTTCTGCCATTTTTTGATAGTTTTTGCTTTGTTTTTGTTTGAATTGTGAATCTGTAATGTGTTTTTGGGATTAGAGATTAAGAATAGAGTCCATATTTGTGTGTTTGGGGTGATTTTACCATAAAATGATCTGAAAAGACTGTATGAAGGGTCTGTGTTCATGCACTTCCAGTATCTTTACTATTTAATACATCTTTATTTCTATTGTGCTTAAACAATTTAGATTGTGTCTAAGCAAGTTAACTTAGAAGTTCGAGTAAATTTAAGCTGCTTTAGTCCAGTTTTCACAGTAGAAGTGTAATGATTTATTAATAATGTAGTAATAATAATTATTTAACAGCAGCATTTGCTTGCAATAAATGAACAGAATCGTTCTCTACAAAATGAATTTATATTCACACATATAAAAGGTATATTTGATTAAATATGAACAACTCAATCATATTATGATTAAATAGGTATATTTTTATATGGTAATTCATATATTAAAATTCACTGTTTAGTTAATTGTTTTTAAATAAATAATATATATTTTATTAATATAAATAAAATAATGTTTTAAAAAATATTTTTAATTATATATTATAGTTTATAAACATATCAAGATTATTTTTAGATTAATGTAATAATCTGATTGTGGATTACTATTATTATTTTTAATCATATACAAAAATGTTAATATCAAATGCACGCTGTAATACAGTGTAATAGGTCCAATAAATATGCTAATCCATATATTAAATTCATGGTTTAGTTAAATAGATTTTTTAATAAAATAAATGTTTATTTTATCAATTTAAAAATAAATAATATTTCGCAAAAATAAGCGAACGACTGAACCATATTATGATTGAATAGGAATATTTGTTATGTTAATTAATATAATAAATTCATTTTCTAACATTTTTTTAATTAAATAATATATCATTTTATTAATATAAATAAAATACTGTTTTCAAAAATATTTTAATTTTATATTAAAGGTTATAAACATACCAAGATTATTTTTAGATTATTGTTAATAATCTAATTGTAGATTACTATTGTTATTTTTAATCCTATGCAAATATATTCATATTAAATGCATGCTGTTATACAGTGTAATAGAGCCAATAAATACTAAATCATATATTAAATTCATGGTTTAGTTAATTGTATTTTAATAAAATAAATATATTTATTTTATTAATATATAAAAATATATAATATTTCACAAAAATAAAGGAACAACTGAATCATATGATGGAATAGAAATATTTATGTTAGTTCATATATTAAGTTCACAGTTTAGTTCATTGTTTTTTAATTAAATTAATATGTAAATGCATGAAAATATAAAATAATATTTTAAAAAATATTTTTAAATTTTATATTAAAGTTTATAAGCACTTTATGATTATTTTTATATTAAAGTTAATAATCTGATTGTATATTACTGTTGGTATTTTTGATCATATGCAAATATTTTCATGTAAAATGCATGCTGTAATACAGTGTAATAGGTCCAGCAAATCGAGAAAAAAAGGGTATTTTTTTGCTTATATTTACTTATGAGCTTTATAATAGCTAATCATGGCTATTCTAGTGTTTTTCCATAGTTTGCATATAGATTTTAGTAACATATTGAACCTAATAGTATATTTTCATTGTAACTTTAGCCATTTTTAAGTCTGTTTAGCTTAGGTTATTTATACTTTAAATGAAAATTAAATGTTTTAGTTTACATTTTACTTTATACTTAATGTTTTCATTCAGTTTATGTGTTGTATGTATGTACAGTCTATAAATATGTGCATTTACAGCTGAATTATTAGCTCTAATGTAAAATTGTAATTCTTTTTCAACAATTTCCCAAGTGATGTTTATTGTAGTGATTTATTGAAAGTGATTTTTGCATAATAGGTCCCCTTTAAAGTAGATTTTACTGCAGATTTCAGTGTTTAGCTATTGTAAGGATGGACTAAATAGCTTTTGTTTGAGCTCCTGGAAGCGGTTTCAGCGGATCAGGATGCCGGTGGTCCCGTCAGATGAGTGTTGTGGTACAGTAACACATCTGGAGTGAATTCTGTGTGCTTTTACTGTTAGCATGGTGTTTCTTTCAATCAGTTTGAGGAGATTTGTAGAGTAAACAAGTCAACTGATTGATTTCAGACATCGTGAGATGTTTCCTGACGCTCTGCAGTGACTGTAGATCTATAGATTTCCATCCTGCATGATCACTAAAGTCAACATGAAATTACATTTAAATATTGAAGCGACAAATATAAAACAAATTCCGTTAAATAATTGTATCTTATCTATATTTTCTGATGTTATTATCATCCAGTAGCCTGCTTGATCTTTGTGGTAATGATACAACTGCAATACTGAAAGTAATAAAATAAGGTCGCATTTGTTAACGTTATTTAATGTATATTATAAGGTATATTATAATATCATTCATAAGGTATGGGTTTGAGTTAAATGTATGACACGTCTTTCTTTAAAGTTTATAATTAAAATATTGTTATTTAGAGCATTTTATTTTGACATTTCTCAACATAAAATGACATGTTTTAATTT